TTTAAACCTGTTTGTATGCGAAAATCTCGACAGAGATGCAGGGAAACGAATGATGCCGGACTTGGTTTGCTGGACACCAAGAAAATTGTAAAATTCGACCTGGTCAAATATCCAGGGAATTATCGAAGGTTCCGCGATGACTGATCACTGCAAAGAACGACGTCGATAATTTTTACTTTCGAGGAAAAAATTCTTTACCGAAAATACAATGTCTAATCTGAACGAAGCAAATTCGAAGTAAAATTTGTGACAAGTCTAGTGCAACTATGCAAATTGAGAATTTCCAAGAATGATCGGAGAATTTAATAGTAAGGAGTAGAAGCTGAGCTATGCAAAACGTTCGATTAAAAAAGAAGTGTAACACGGTCCAGACATTGAATTAGATTTGTGTAACATTAACTTTCGCCGAGCTTCGACGGGTTTTGACGTTAATTGTCACTAATTGTCAAAAGATCTGGACATTGAAATTGCAGCTTCCGATTCCCCGCAATTTCCAATCGTGGCCATCGAGTCGACGAGCGCGATAATCAATCAAACGTGATCGCGGTTCGTTAGAAAAGCTTCGGCGTATCGTCTGGCCGATGCATCGATCGAGATCGCCCCGAAGAACGCCCTCGCGAACGGATGAAATCCGATTACCACGGGGCTGCGTGCAACGTTCCTTTGTGAATCAGCGGTGTAATTAGCGGCCTGCTGAGGCGATATCGAAGCGCATCGGCGCGCACGCTGCGGGACGAGCGAGCGTCCAATAAACCAAATTGTACCCGGCGAGAACCGAATTCCCCGGAAGGTGACAGATTCCCGTCGCGACACGGAAAGGAACTTTCTTCCCTCGCCCGTTGACGGACACGGTCGCGACAAAGTCGGAGTTGTCGCAAAACGGAACGCTCGGAATTAGGTGGTATGCAAATAAGTCGACTCCTTTTATTGCTACAGTGGACAAGTTCGCCGACGGTTGGGATGCTGTTTTCCAGGTTCCCTTTGGCGGTTCGCGTCCCCCCTCTGCTCGGCATTGTTCCGCGGTCTCTGGGAAAACTGCTGCAACGACGGAACTTGCCTGGGTTCGCCGCTAAAAAGCCACCAACCCGAACGGGACGGGAACAAAGTGACCTCGTCGGATCCCGAACGCTGATGCGTGCTATTTCGCGACTCGCCAAAACGAATTTCGATGCAAAGTGGCGTCGAATTATTTTCCACCTAATTCCATTCTCTGCCATTTCTTTTCGAAGATAAGAGCAGTTTTTATCCGCTCTAAATATGCTTTGAGTTAGGCGAGTAAATCTTGTAAGCCTTCGAAAGACAGAGTAGCGATCATTAAATTTCCCAGTCTTCGTCCGAATAATAAAAATCGAGTCTGAGAGTCCAGAAGGATACATGTTCGAGCGTTGCCTTTGGAATAAAAATAGTTTCGTTTCGCGGATCGGCGTCCCGACGCTTTGATACTGCTTTGACGGATGGAATTCGTCTGAATGGAGAGGGAAGTTCCTCGGAGGAGGCACCGGAAGTCTCGCTTCCACGTTCGTTGCGTCTGCTCCCAGCCAAACAGAACCTTCCGCGAAAGCATAATGTTCGAAAATAACCAGTGTTGGTTCTCGTCGGGAACAGAGAATTTTCGCATAACTTATTCGTCCATACTTATATCCGGGCTCTGTTGAACATTTCGTACACCGTACAACTCGTCCGATTAAACGCACACGCAACGCATAGGGGTACTCCGATTAGGAGATTTGTATCTGCCCGTAGCAGTTATAAACGTTGATTTTTATGTTGTGTTTCATGATATTTCTCCCGTGAATGGGTACATCGAACAAATGAATACGAAATCTGAAATTTGTTCGTAAAACTTGCTCGACACTCGACTCTCCAATTACCATAGAACGCTAAGTATTTTCAGAACGAACTCAAAAACGAACAAGTCTTCGCGGCATGTTTATGTCTGACAAAGTCCACGGTAGGTAGCCACTCGCGATGTTCTTTAGGAAACTTTATTCACTTCAATTTGAATAATCCTGCTTAATTAAACTTCACTTCTCGCTCCAGCGACGCACCTTAGGGGCGGATTAACTTAAACGAACCGACGAGTGGGGCCGATTCGAGCGGAATAAAAATGCCCTCTTCGAGGAGCAAGAGCGGCCGAATACAAGGTTAACAAATTTTTGCGTAAACTCGACTTCAAGATCACGGCGAATGCATTAAAATGCGCTCGATCGTTAGGCGAAGCTCGCCGGGGGAACTTGAACAGTTTTTGTCGTTCGCTTTGAACACAAGACGAATTCCCCGTAGCTCTCCAAGGACTGGAATCCGCGTCATTAAAAGCTCCCGGCAGTTTACACTTTGCTTCACCGGGAACAATGCAAATTGTTCGACTCTCGGTCGGCCCTGAAAGCGCAATCGAACCTCCTGACGCGGGACAATGTAATTGATCGCCCGAAACGTCTCGATTATGCGCGTCGCTTGACACGCTGCCCTATTGACGGAGAAATTGATTGGCAGGGATCTTTTTTTTTTCGTTAACGCGCGACCCAATCGATGACGCCGAGAATCGACAGAAATCAGAAGCGACAACGGCGACTCCAATGACGGAACTTCGCCCGACACGCTCGACAATTAACTGGATTCGACAAACTTCCCGACAGACTTTCGATCGATAAAATAATCAATTGAAATTCCGAATATCCCTTTGTCCCGCAATTACGAACGAACTACAATTTCGGAATTAAATTCGACGCTGATTTCCGCTCGTATTTGTGTCCCAAAATTTGCAAGGTAAAGTTAAAAAGCACGCTTTTATGGCTTGCATGATCCTGTAATAACAAATATGTATTACGTTTCCGTCGAGGGTGTCCCGTTTCAAACGATTCGCGAGAATATTGTTGAAATTGTTGGCGATGTTGAAACATTTTATCTTTATCTCCTCGATCAACGAAGAGAACATTCTTGGTATCCGATGTACCAAAGGGAAGATTTTCAAAGCTTCTGAAATACAAACTGTGTAATATTATCGTTACGTAAATTGATTACAAACTTCTACGTAATAGATCCGTGAAAATTCCTAGTTCTCCTTTTTCTGAGTAGATCCGTACGCTGGGCAAGAAGTTTGAGCGAACGATGGAGGCCGATGAAGCGTTTCATGGCGATTCTTTCGTCGTGTTTCTCGAGACTTTTGTCGTCATACGACGTGAAAATCGATCTGCAGGCGTTACACGTCTCGAGAACGAGTTGCCCGAGTTTGTCGAGAAAGAAATTGTAAAAACTTGCACTGGGCGTTCGTCAAATCTGCCTGGCCTCTGCCACTGGCGAAACGAGAGAAGTCTCTATACTTTTCGACTTCCGGTATCTCTGGCGCGTAACAGGTAGCAGTTTCACCCAGTTCGCCGTCTCGAGAGGACGAAGACCCTGCCGGAAGAACGATCGAGCATAACAGTAAGGGGTTGCAGCTATATTTCGTAAAAATACACGGGGGAAGCCCGTTCAAATATAAAATACGTAAATCGGAGATTCGCGATCGTGGACCATGTTCAGACGTTTGTTTCAGACCGATCCTTGGACTTTTGTACTTTGTTTTTGAACCCTTGATCGAAATAAAGTTTACGCGCTGACAAAATCTTTTTAATTGACCAATTTTTGGTACGTGATTCGCGAAATAAAATTTTCAAAGGATGCATTAAATCAATCCGTTGCTTCATTCGTACCGTTGCTAATGTGTTATTAAATGAGTATTTATTGGACCGTACAGAGCAGTTTAATTTAAAATTTGGCTTTCCTAATTATCTATCGACGTTTCAACCTTAATTTTCGGGTTCTCTTTGGGAAATGTGTTCTGAATATAATGTCCAAATGATGCAAATATCAACAATTTCGGTTACCAAAAATGCAAACATAAGGGGCAGTATAAACTTGCATGAATTAACTAAATAAATTTACATGGTTATGTTATTATTAGAATGTGGGGCTTTATTTGCGTACAATTGCCCAACGACATAATTATTAAAATGATATCGATGCTGAATCGTTATAGATGTTATAAATTTGGACGTGGCTATACGATTTATTTTGGTGAACAAATCCAAATTTTGCTAGTGTATAGTAATGATTGAAACATGTATGAAAACGTCGAATCTCCGACTTATTTCTAATTATAGACGAAACCCATAGATGTGTACAATAGATATCACTCATGATTATGCTGTAAGCTTGATTCATGAATGTCAATTATTGTCCAGCTTCACAATGCCAGAACTTGGAATTTCAGAATGTATCGAATCGCGTATTCATAGTTCTGGCATACATGATACGATATTGTCTTACTAAATTGGAATTCTTTAAGTACATCCAGAATAGGAAATCAATTCCTTGTATGGAGAAACGATACTATCGAAGGATCCGTTTCGCGCCAATAAATTCTCAAGTCGATACCAATGATCTTTACCTTGAAACATTTCTCTGCTGAACTATAAATATCGGCTTGCATATTGTGGCGCCCGATTTACGAACTCGCTATACTTCGTCTATTATTCCAATAAAATTCTGCCCATCTCTGGCTATGATTCCCTATTCCCTCTAGGCCAAGGCGCATCAAGCCAAATGCCAAAACGCGTAGAAAACAGTTGGCGAACTCTGATATACTATAAGGTGTCTCGGAATAAATTCCACGAGTAACGAGCAACCGATTGCAGGTTCAAAAATAAATCGATAACAGAATGAATTTTTCTACTTCCGTGGTGGTAAATCCCATCATATATGGATGACGCGGCAGTCAAAGTGTTAAAGTAAATTTCCGCGGTATAAAGAAATTGCATAATAAGTATACCCTATACGTCTTCCGAAGTTTCAGGGTGTTTTAAATTTCCGGTTCGGGGGATCATCCCTTATAAGTTACTAGTTTCACTCCGTCAGTCTAAGAAGAACGAACGGTGCGATCTTATAGGATGACGTAATATTTAAAAATATTATACTAGAAAGAGGAAATTATGAATCTAGTAAATTTGCGGTTCGCTTACCGAGTACGAGCAGCAGCAGAACTTGTTGCGGGAGCCGAGCCACCATTGTGGGCTCCTTCTCTCGCACATTTATGAATTGAAATCGGCCGATCCCGCCGTGCACCGATCCTACTCTCACGATTACAGCCGCCCCTTGCAACAACATTCATTTAACGTTCCTGCCAGCTTCCACGTATCGCGTTGCTCCTCTGGTCGCTCCTGGTTCCTGCTTCCGTTGCACACACGCGATCACCACACACTTCGAGGAGACACACACGCGCGCGAACACAAGCCTCGTCGACGTGGTTTCCGGTACCACGTGTTCTCCACGACTCGCAAACGCTGTTTCGTCTACACACGACGAACCCTTTTGCACCAGTGGAAGACACGCCTCGGGATTTCATCCGTCGCGTGACCGGTCGCGCAGCGCTGAAATATCATCGGCCGGAATCAGCGTGCAAATTGTCTGGCGATCAGTGTGCTTGCGCAACACAGCCGCCTGATCGCGAGGATTTGCTCGTCCGGGGATGTTTGAGCCTCCGTGAATCCCTCCGATAGCGATTCGGTCAGATAAGTGTCGATGAAATTCAAATAGCTCCCCCAAATAGTAAAAGTATCGCTCAACTTTGAATTTTTAGCGGACCCTAAGAGTTTAATTAATTTTGCGCAAACTTGCACATTTCTAAAATAAATTCGATACATTTCGTTTTTGTTTCGCCAAGTTACTTTGACAGTAATATATCTGTAGTTGAAATAACGAAGTAACGAAATACTCTGGGATATATCCAACGCGCCACGAAAAGATTACATACACGGAATAATAAACCTCTTTTTATTATTACACTGATGAAATAATAATAATAATGCAGGGGGAAACAATTTTGTATGATTTTAAATATATGATTGATACGCCTATTAACGTCGCGGGAAATATTAGATCGATACGTCGTTTCGAATGCTTATTTTTTATTATAGGTTCAAACAAAGCGTATGCGTGAATTGAAATCATTCCTGAACATGACACAATTAGCTCAGGTATTATCTATCCTCGTTCCCATCTCGATATCACGTTACCTTATGAATATTTTGCCCGAGAATTCTGTCATGTTAATTGAAATATATGAGAATTCGACTAATGCGTTTCTGTCTGTTACACGATCTGATGTGACTTTTAAACAAATCATAGTTCCAAGATTCCCGACAGATAAACCCGATAACTATCAAAGTTTCGGTATACCGATGTTATTAAAGCATTGCATAAAACAGATATCTTTTTAGCTCGATAAATCTGTGGCTAACGACTGCTAGAGCTGAGCTCAATTTCGACAGACTTGATGCTTGTATAAACTACACCCTTTCAGGAATGCAACCATAATGGAGTGCTTAACGAATTCAGAGCGTTAAACGAATAGTATTTCAGAGAAAGTGTACGGAACACTACCCCCGGAACGATAACTTTTCACTTGTAAAAATGAACATGTAAGAAATCTAATAGACAGATAAGATAGAGTTGGAAAACTTTTGTTCGCGGATAACGATTACGAGTGTCGGTTCGAAAAATCCGGTAATGGATTCTAAATTACGAACTGAGCGTAAATAGCGGATCTGGAATTTGTATTTGTTGTTCGGGAATAAAATTGCCCGACTCCGTGCATTGTGTACGATATACGGGCCTCGAGAACAAAGGGCTGAGAATTCACGATAAACTTAAGCACTCACGGTACGACGTTGTTCGCATTAGCGGAAAGAAACTGCGCCAGCGAACTTGTAGCAAAGGTAGATTTATTATACTTGGAGAGGTATTCGAGAATTAACTGTTGATATTTACGGGCCACGGTCGAAGATAGGACTGATGGTTGCGAAGGGAGAACGTCGAAGCAAAGGATCGGTGACAGAGCGAGAGCCTAATTAGGTAATAACATGAACAAGCGGGCGAAAGAGGGATCGACAAGTAGGACGAGGAGCAAAACAGGAGTGAGAGGAGGAGATGCGTAGACAAGGACGGAAACGAGCGATAACACAGGAATCAGATGACGTGTCGACGATGATGGACAAGGTGCGATAGAAACGAAGTAGGACAGCGATGAAAAGGAACACATTGGGGGTCGTGTCTCTATTGTTGTGAATAGATTGAGAATTTTCTGCGTTCGTAGCCTATAACGATACCTTACATTCTACAGAGTTAAATATTTCAAACGTTAATACGATAGTATTATAGACATTGTAAAATTGGTAAAATTGCAGGAGTTGGAACAAAGGTAATTCAATTTATCCTTTCGCATTCTTATCGAGATTTAGCAACAGACAGGACGTAATTAAATTAATTACTAAGTTTCAGTAGAGAACTATGTCGCAATACGCGAAGGAACTAATGCACGTCGCAGCTTCTAACTTTAACGACGTTTCCCTGGAAACTACTTTTTCCTAGCTGACATTCTTAAAAACTCTCACACCAGCGAACTTGTCTTCCTAGAATTTGGCACACATACACAGAAAGCTTACTCAACGGCCGGGATCAGATGATATTTACGATCTCTCTATTTCTATTCAAGAAAATGTTTCACTCTCATCTAAAGTATCGACGTTTGAACAAATTTCAATATGTTTTGTCTCTTTACGTTTTCTTGAAACATGTAATGACCGCGCAGAATCTCGAGAGCCTGTTATTAATAGCGTTTCAGTAAAAATTCACGAAGGGACACGTTTCTTTGATATTCTAGAATGAAAGGCCATTAATCGTCTATAATTCCACGTATTTTAATTAAAACTATAACTTTGCCCGCGGTACAAGTAACAATCTACCGAGAATTCTAATTTATAATTTATCTCGGCAAAATGTAGCTGGAAGGTTGCGTTGATTAAAATTTATCTTTCAATTTATACACCGTGTAATTTGGGTTGTAAGTGGTTACGAAGGTTAAGACCACTGTTCTTGGGGGTTAATCCCACCAGTAATCGAATGAATAAGTAAATTGGTGGACCAGTGAAGAGAGAAAGGAAAGCAGGGTCCGATTTATCTTGCACGAGTTCGAGTTCGATGAAAAGGGATAAATAAAGGCGAGGCGGGAATAAGGACTAGCCAGAATTTTATGGGACGGTTCGAGGGGATCGAAGTATATCGTCGAATGTCGTTGGCGATCGGATATTCGTCGCGTTGGATGGGAAGAAAAGTGTTAGAGGGCCGGCCAAATTGAAAACCGATAAGCCTGTCCTTTTCACGAGTTATCTCTTCGCCGCCGTCACTCCTCGCGACTCTGAAAGACGCCTCGTTCCTTCGGAGCAATTAACTTCGTTAATCGATTTGGTCTGATTCTGTGCTCGTATTTTTTCAACGAATGTCTCGAGGACTTCCCGTGCAAATCGAATACAATTTTATTCCGGACACTTTAGCAGAAGGGTGTCCTTTAATTTTTAAAAGGGTTGCTATAGCTTGATATCGAATTTACATTACCTCGAAGTTTCGTATAATTTTCAATGCTAATATCTTGTTAATAAGGCTACATAATCGTCCAAATTAATATAACACACTTTACATGAAAAAATACTATCCTGAATATACGCGAATGAATATTCAAATTAAACGACATTCACTTTCGATGGGCAGCGAAAGTACACTTTCACTGAAAAATGTGAACCAAAAGCATTAAAGTACGGATTCACTAGACAAATTTTTAAAGATACCTGTAGTCTTGATAGAATGATAGAATTAGTTATAAAATAAGAGTTTGTCAAAGGACAATATGTAATTATTCTGTGATAAGACGTTGACATGGTCTATACCATCAACTTCTTGCAATGAGATGAACCAAAATCTTTCTTCAGAAAGTATCACGCCTGGACTAAAACGTTAAAGGGTAATTGTTTTCTTCAACATCTAGGAAGTCCACTACTCCTATCTTTGATTAGTAATGCTATTAGCTATCATTTCACGCGACACAAAATCCCTATCAACGGAGAAATAACCTTTCCCGGAAGATTTCGATCGCTAGATCCGTATTCCACCCGTTCTCCTCGATTCTACAGTACAGATACTTTATCGAGCCGACGATTTTCGTTATCCTTCGCGAGTTCTGCGCGCGATCGACCGTTCCTGGCGTCGACGTGTCGATAATCGTCACAGCATGTTCAGCGTATTCGGCGTCAAAGCTACGTCCGTTTCTCACCGAGAATCGATAGCTACACCTAGCTCTGCTCGAACTTTTCGACTAGATCTACCTCCAACCGTTCCTTCTGTCCTTTCCAGCAATAATTATTTAACCCTTACGATTATCATAGTATTAAATATTGCCCTCGCACGTTACAACGTTTAATGTGAAAAAGCCTTTCAGTTTCCAGCAACGTTTACTCCATATTCAAAATCGACCTTTTGAGTCAAAGTGTTAATTATCCTCGTCGAGCCTGGCGGAGGATCGGTGCATCGAGGTAAAAATCGGAACATTTCCGGGCGTATAAACTTTTCATTCGCTTGTTTGTCCCCGGCTAACTGAATATGCATGGCCACGCGAAGGGCCACTTCGCGAAAATAGCCTGCTCCACGTTCGCGACTCTCAATCGTGATTTTTTTTCACGTGATTTTGTAAGTCTTTGACCCGCTGGACGCTTCCAGGACGTTGAATATTACTCGCACGTAAATCGTCGAAACGAACCTTCCTATTAACGCTTTTGGTATCCAAGATCGAGTACCTGGGTGCTCTCGGATCGAAATACGCGTCTGATTAAAACGGTTTTAGTTAATTGAATGTAATTCGGAGGCTCGTTCTCTCTCTGGGCTTTCGCGCTATTCGGGGCGAAACCCTCGCCCTTATTGCACGCTTTTCATAAAATGCGAGTCGACAATGGAGTTAAAAGCTTCCATGGGCTCAGGACGCTAACGTAATAACGGTGAATTGAAATGGCACGAATTCCCCAAAAGAACGGTGGAGATATGGTTAAAAAAAAAAAAAAAAAGAAAAAAAACTGAAAACTTCATAAAATAATCTGAATGGCCGCGGGTTCCCCCCTTCAAATTATCTTATCAAACCCGTCTCCCATGACTATAGCGATCTCTCGAGGCCGCTTGGCCGACTGCCGAGATTTTTCGTGGATATTTCGGTCGCGGCCGTGCATCGGTCCCTGCTCCGACCGAACCGATCGACTAAAATGTAACACGGAGGCTTAACATCCACGATAGAACAAAATCAATCTACCGTGTTATCGCGCGCTGAAACGTTCGAGCAAATTTGCGAACGATCCGGATCGGCGGACCAATTGGAAAACCGTGGTTCCACGTCCCGGGGTACGTGCTCCAAGAACTATCGTTTGCACAGGAAAATTGCACGAGGACCACTCTCTTCCTCTATCTATCTCTTCCTCTTTTTCTCTCTCTCCTCCGTTGTATTTTACTTTTTCCTTTTTATTCCTCGACGACGAGTTCACACGTGGCGCGGTCGCGTTCGACTGAAAAATCACGGCGTCCCGTCCCGCTCCGTTTCATGGGGATGATAGTACCACAGTAACGACGCGTCGCACGCGGAGTCTCACCGCCGACTGACTAGCGCCGCGACGCTTCTTCGTTCGCCCCCTCCTGCGTTGGTGTACGGCGCGAGCAAGCGGAGGAGTTCGCGGCGGCTCGTTCGACCGTGTCCAGCTCTGTTAAACGGGGTCTTCGGGTCCGAAATGATATATAGCAAACCGTTTCTTTATTACAATAATAACTAGCAACCAGCAGCAAACACTGCGTGCCTTGAACACCGCGACAATTAATAGATGCGTCGAAATAAGTATGGTAATATGCATCAGCCGGTGTTAATCGTATCGTCGATATACTTTGCGCGCGATCTTTTCCCTTTTATTTCAGTCTCACGTCTCTTTGTCTCTGTCCAGATGTAAATACCTAGCAGCTGTTCTCTCGCGCCTGCTCCATTCCTCTCTCAACTACCCTAACTTCTATCTTTTTATCTCTTTGCTTCTCTCACTCTTATGCTAAACCATGCACCGCCCGCAGTCTCGTCGAATTTAAGTGTCCAACAGATTGATCCCTTGTACCTGCACCATTTCTCTCTCCACTCTTCTACTCCTATCTAGTATGTCTCTGCTTCTCCGTACTCCTATGCTGAACCACGACGAATTTAAATGTCCTACAGTCGCATTCTAATCACTGCCACTGTGATTAACTACGCTACAGTATCGAAGCGAATAAAACGTTATTCGTTGCAACTCTTATCACCCTATCATAGACTTGTTTGAAGATTTATTTGTAAACGTGAAACAGAATAATTTGGAATTTCTCTCACGAGAACGATCCAAGACTCGGCACACGTCTTGAGAGTTCTCGTTTCTAATGCTAATGCTAACGCTTATACTTATGCTAATGCTTGTGCTTATGCTTATGTTAATGCTAACGGTGACGCTAATGTTGATGCTGATACTAAGCGCATGCTCGAGCAGTTTTTTAGGTTTCTAAGAAGATTGCTATACGAGGATAAAAAAGAAATAACGTAACAATTGTTCGGATAAGAGATTTGCGGGGTTTTTGAACGTTAACGCGCTCTGTCGCGAGCTATTATCACCCCTGTTCGCTAATTCGTTTCAAGACTTCGTTTTCTTCGCTCTGCCAGTCACCCCATTCTCTCCCCGTGGAAATTCGCGGTGACCAGTGTGTCGTAATTGCATTGCCCGATAATTGTCGCGTAATTGTCGTTGGCGGTCGAGGAAGCGTCAACCTCGCCCCTTATTTTCCTTCAGCGCGGGGCTAATTTCGTTTGTATTCGCGACGAGAGTCTTTCCACGGACGCTGGATCGCGAACACCCTCTCCTGGGGAACGTTTACCAGCGAAAATGTAACAATCGCAGCGGTAGAAGAGCTTGCATATATTGCGAAAGAACAAATCTACCAGTCTTATTAAAGAGCAAACAACCTATCTCTTGGTCTACTGCAATGTTAATATTCACGTCCGAATAATGTTTGCCTCGACTTACGTCGGCCATTCCGGAACCAATTAATACCTGCATAAGTTCGGGGCACTGTACAGGGCTCTTCTCTATCGGACTGACCACAAACTCAAATAATCCGGGGATGCAGTAAACTCTGAATCAGCCCCCGAGTACGCGTAACTCAAAATCGATTTACAATCCGGCGGTCGTCCTATTAATGGTAGAAAAGATTGTTCCATTGGTCGTGCGATCGAAACTATTACAAGGTAGCAGGGTTTCTGGCGTCAAAAGTTGCTGACGGGCGAGCAAACAGCGCGTCTGTAATCGAGATTTCGAAACGTTAACGAGAAGCAACGGAGCTTGTTTGCCGACAGCGTCGTAGTTTCCTCCGTGAGACAAGAGGCTCGGTGTACCGAAAAAGGCAGATGTCGATGCCATTCTTACATAGCCACGCAATTCGTCCTGCGCGTCCTCGCGTTTACAATTGAACTATCAAAGGCGCGACGGTCGGTCTTTCATAAAGTAATTAAACTTGGAACGTTATGGCACTCGTTAAATGTACACAGGCACCCGCCGTGACTCGCGTGCAAACGTTCATGAGCCAATGGGTTTCTGACATCCAGAGATTCAAATTTAATGAACCGGGACCGCGTGCGGAAATTCTCTCCGCGAAATCCTTGGTGTTTCGACGTTCAGTCGGCTAAACAAGCTACATAGCTGCGCGGGTTTAAGTTTGTAATAATAATGCAACGAAGGTTCCATTACTTCTATCCACGTTATTCGAATGCTGCGCGATCGGAGATTATTTTAGGAATGATTACTATAGATCTGATCCTGTCAAATTGCTCGTGCAATTGATAACAACCCTTCTATATTAATATCGAAAAATAGGAAAATTTCAGGCCTGTCCCGTCGTATTGTCGCGGAGTGTAACGGAGCCGAGTGAGCGAACAAACAAAATTTCCAGTATCCTTTAACCGGGCCGTTAATTCGTTGGAGCAGTGGGCAGAGAATCGGAACGGGAAAGTCGGAATTCTCCCGCTGAAAGGGCAGGGTACAACCGGCTGATCGAGCACCCGTCACTGGCAGACGTCTAACCGACATTTTCCAATTCGTGCGGCCATTCACCGGGCTCCGATCGACAAAAGCGCTGGCTCTTTTGCAAATTGCAAATTGCAGCGCGCCGCTTCCTCCGCGCTGGAAAAACGCATCGTCCGTGCGGTCGTTCGCCGCGCAACACCCGCGCAGCGATACTTTCCTTCAATTTTCTCGAGACTTCCATTACAAACGTACTTTGATCTTCCGCGAATAGGAGCTCGGCGCTCTGCAAACGTCAGATGCATACAGTGTTCCGTTCTCTGCAAACTTTCACACGCGTCGAACAGTTTCACAGATGCTTTTCGACTAACTTTTTGCCCCAGACCCCTTCCGGGGAATAACGTCAGGCGAATCGAGATTTGTAATATCGAGATTTGTAATAATCGTACTCGCGAACGCGTCGAGGGAGCGGAAAATGATTAACCTCTGGGCGAAAAATTAAGAATCGAATAGAGAGATAAAAAAACAGAGTTCATTGTACGTCAACAAATCATTGAAAACAAACAGTGACAGTATAATATTGGTCGTGCAAATTCTAATGGGACGCATGTATGCAAACACGCCACGGCTCGAAAGTATTTTATCGTGCGTCCAGTATGACAAATATTTATTTTTAATTAAGGAGAGTGCAAAGATACAAGTGCAAACATTTATTTTCATGAAAATACCGAGGTTACATATATTATTGGCTTCTTGGAAATAATAGTCGAACTGTCACTCGTCTGTCAAACATATTTATAGCAAGTGATCAAACACTGTAGAGGTTACTCCAGTTTCATTTTTACGTTTCAATTCCAAACGATTACAAATGCGTTGGAAGTTATTTCCAACTAGTTCAAAATACACGTCATATTCAGCCACCCGGTGATCAAGGATTACATTTGTCATCGTGCGGAACTGATATAAAATTGCAAAATAGCTCAGGAGTGTTTGATCATGTATTATACGCGGTGAGTTTTCGCGAGATCCACCGGTGAAACAGGAATTTGCAATTGAAATTAAATTTTGAAATACAGCATATATCATTTTGGCAAGATCGGAGCGATGGTATTTATTCATGTCGAAACGGTGAAGATGGATTTTATTTGAGAAGCGCGATGCTCACCTGTTGAGGTCGAAGCACCTGATTTTTTATTCTATCCTGAACATAATAAAGGAAACCACTTCTCTAAATCGTAATTCCTATGGAAGCTATGACGATTTATGCGACACGCTACTTCTGAACGCCCAACACTCGATTTCACGTCGGCCGCGCGGAGAGAAATATTGTAAACGCCGTCGAATCGAAGGGGCTAATATAAGAGTCTATGGGTCCCTTTTATTTGATATATGAGGTACTTTTGACCTCTCCTTCGCCAGAAAAGAAAGAGACACACCCTCTCACGATTGTTAATACAGCCGTATAAATTTTAGTTTAGTAACAATACTAATGCTTTTATTTTGTTTGTTTTTTTTTAAATAAAACATAGTAGGATTAGTTTCACTGTTTTCTTAACAATGAATATCTGCAATAAAAATATGTGTACAATTCTTTTGGTAAATAAATATGTATTGCACGACACGTACGATGAAATACTCGACGAGGGAGAAAACTCGACGCGGGAAATCCCGGGATGAGTGTAAATTCAGCTTCGACGTTGGATTATCTGTGCTTCGTTACGGGATTACCAACCGGCGTCCAGCAGTTCTTACTGACGACGCCCGGAACCGTGTTCCAGACGGCGACGGACGTCCTACTGATTCCTTCAGAGTTTAAATTGTGCAGCTTTCTGTCTTCTTGCACGTGGAACACGATATCGACTAACGTACCTGCAACACGCTAACGGAGACAAAGTGGAAGAAAGTCCCTAAGCCCCGGAGCTTCTGTTGAACAACACTGTTTTACATTATCTTGTAGAATCAATACTTCTAGTCTTATTCCGGAGATAACGCGTACCTTACAAAAAAAGTCTATTAAAATCCAACTCACAAGAGAATTCTAGATCTTTTACAAATATATCTATCATTGCATCTAACCAGAATCAGTACATGTTTACAAACAAGAGGACAGATCTAATATATAATATATAATATTCCCATCTGGTTATACAGCTTTGTAGAAGTCAAAGAAAATGAGAAAGAAACGAGAGTTGATTTTTTTCAAAGTTCCAGACAAGACCACCTCCTTAAATATCAGACTTCTTGGGAAGTAGCGGTAAGTTCACGTCGATATTCATGAGAACAATATCCGCCGTTTCCCGATATTGGCTTCCGCATTGTGTTTGTCTTCGAAATAACTTCTCGGACCGTTTTGTTTGTTTCTTCGTCACATATTTGAGTCTCGTAACGAACGTCGACGATATTGAAGCGCAGGTTCGGTCGTTCTATCTCGGGTCGGTCCAAGTATACGGTTAGAAGATATTTCGCCCTTAAACAAATTTATTTTGTTCCGTTTGCAAGCGAAATTTGCCCCAAGATGCTGTGTGCCAAACTCGATCCTGCAATAATAGTTTATTCGAGATACATATTCAAAGGAAGCCTAACCTTACTTTTTCTGAGCCTGCCTTTTAATAAAAATGTTTCGTACAGAATTGTTTCTTGACTAATCTAGAAAATACAAAGCATTATGTGATTGCAGAGTTCAAAAGAATCACCTGGCCTAAAAAGATCCGTATACACAAGTTCGTCACAATGGTATCAGAACTTTCTCGTAATTATTTTACACCAGTTTTTTTCGTACGACGTATGAATAAGTTTCGATAGATATAGCGATAGGTTATACAATTTGAATGTCTTTATTCAATCTTCTATCCTTCCGAACCATTCTTCGTAGCCATTAATTTATCGCCGGAATTGTAACAAATGCGTACAGAAATAGACGTTTACGCAAGTACGCTTGTTCCTTCGTATGTTCAAAAACATAAGGTGAATGTAACTAGCGAGGAAGTAGAACCGTGTAACTTTCTGAAAGGGTACATTTCCGACACAATTTACGCCGTATTCGCGAAGTCTTGCTCGTTAACGGCTCGACGAATTTTGTAGGCACTGTTGCCTACGTTATAAATGTACAAATTTTGTAAATAATATTATTCTTACCGTTGCTAGCATTCCTTAGCCTGGGCCAGTAATTCGATACGCTCGTAATCTTTTGAAACCGTCGTCCAGCTGTGTTTACGTTGTCAGTCGCCGCGTCGTGTTGTCCTCTCGACTTCACCTTGTAGCTTTGCTCACAAATTCCTGCTCTGCGTAATACGAACACTGTTGCTTTACGCGTCTATGCTACGCATTGTCTGTGCTTTTAATTCGTGTGTTACGAAGAAATATCACGTTTGGTATCTACTTTACACTCCGTTTATGCCTGCACAAGACTCCTTACCACAGCCATGTCAAGTTCAATGTATCGACACCGCGTCAAGGAAGGTTAGTAATCTAGTGAGAATTAAAACAAATATCTTTAGCAAATTTAGTAGAAACAAAAGACACTTTTATATGAATAACTGATTGAAATTTAGATTAAAAGTTAATACTTACCCATTATACGGTTAGAATTAATATATTTTAATTGATCTGGTTACATATGCAACCAATAACAGATCGATATTTGATGAGCCAATGACAGCTTCTCATTGTGACGTCACAGTAGTATAAAGATTATAAATCAGTAATTAATTGTTTGTTTGATATCTTTTTATATTAATTTTATTTGCTTCACGTATTTATTTTATTTATTTTCAATTCTTCGAGATATAAGCTTTAACTTTTCTTTCATCGAGAGATACACATCGTGAGTCGAGACGGGCTAGGTGATTCCCTCACCCCACTCCCCACTCCTCGCGCGAGAGACGTGTTCGATCCTGTTCGTCATTCTTCGGCTGGAAAGTGGTGTGAGAAGTGTGTTGACAGCTTCGCGTCTAATTAGGTACGCATTTCTTATTTTTAACTGTTTCTGTTCTCTTCGTCATTCTCCATCGATGCATTTATACAATATTAATAAGTGTCTGTTAACAAATTTGTGTTTTATTTCTGTTAGAGCCCGTAATTACAGTTCCAACACATGGGACTCTCAAGTATGATCAAACTACGGTCATTCAATCGACGCGACGCCATAATGCTTTGAGAGTTTGTCAACACTTTTCGACATTAAACCTGCATCTATGCGAAAAAGAGTATTTGGCGATGCCCACGTGCGAAAAATGTAAGTATCCTTCGAATTTTGTTCCGAATACGCTTAAATAAAATTGTTTGATTGAAATTTTTCTACATCAAGTTTTCAAATACGGTAGAAACCTTTTCGTTAAAATGTTTATTCTTTCTTTCTACAAGATCCTGACATCTCGTCATCGTACTTGTGGATCCAGAGAAACTCGACGATGATTTCGCTGCTGACATTGATGCTGACTTCGTTGCTGACTTCGTTGCTGACTTCGCTGACGACTCCTACTAACCAACATCGTCGTCCGGTGCTTGCATTCTACAATTGGTGAGTCGAATGCTATTTTGTTTCCTTTGGTGATGGCTAAACATCGAGAACCAACCTGGGACAGCTGGCTTGGTTAGAAAAATTAGCGTTGCGCATTATTTAATATGCAATATTATTAGTGTGTCGAAACATGAATGTTAATCGCGTTTAATGCCAGATTAGCGTTGCGAATAATATCGACATATCACGATTACTGTTAGAGTTGCGAACGATGAATATTTATCGCGTTTTCTTTTACAATAGTATCGCGAATAACTGATAACTTCTATTTAAAGTTGCAAACAATTTGCATGAATTGTATAGTTCCATTTAGAGTTGCAAAGAATTTTTCGCGTTTGCTTTCCCAGAGTAGGGCCCAGGAATTACGAAGTAGCCGCGTTAGTTGCGACTCTCCGCAGCTTGTGAGCTGATAAATAATTTCGATAACGTTTATCCAACGAGCACCAGGGCAGCTGTAAAAAGTTCGGCGCCGGACATGGATGACCAGGATGGGCAGTGAACGTGTTAACAGGCGGATCGACTGTGAAAAACTCCTGGGAGACACATTGGCTAGAGATTCTTGTCTCTGCGGTTGGAACAGCGGAGGTCTGGTTCGATGTCCTTTGTCAGTTTCTCGGCTGGCCGTCTTATCTTCCGCCTCCGTTCCGCCTCTGCATCGTCTAGCTGCATCGTCTAGCTGCGGCGACCAGTCTGATTTTGCGGTCAGCCAATTAAACGTTCAAAGGGATCGTGGCAAGGGAAATTTAATTGTCTTGGACGCGATTGTTCGACGATGAACTCTTCGCGACTCGATTGCGAATGGCATTTTTCAACTCGGTTGCCTCCCACCCCTGACTATTCATCTTCCATTTCCACCCCCCTACTCTCGGTACCTCCACCTTTAACCGCCATTGTGGAACGATAATTGATCGTAGGCAAGGGGAAATTGTATTTTTATGCCGCGGCATCCCAGCCCGTGCTATTCTTATTAGGCTTCCGAGTAGTTGCTTATTAACGTGATATAGCGACGGGAAAATGAAATGGGCGGCTGTTACGGTGATAATGAACACAGTAATTGGCCTCCCTTTCTAACCGTGGTTCGCGGCCGCATTATTACGCCGGAAGTTTATTTATTCGCGGGAACAAAGAACTCTTGCTCGAAAGCTGAACCCTCTGTTCGTTATCGCCACCTCGTGACGACGACAACTTTCCGTTCCCTCGTCAGCGCGGTACATCGACGAAACGTTGCTTTAACGCTGGTAATCGTTCGTGACATTAAGCTTTTGTCTCTTCCTCTTCTTCCTCGCAGCTAGTTCCCGCTTATAGCTTCCCGTTGCCTCGATCCAATGGCAAACCGAGTTCCCTTGTCGTCCATAGATGACGCCACTTTACGTACTTCGAGATTCCACGTGCTTCGCGCAGGAAATCGATCCGGTTGATTTCCCGACGGAAAATAACGAGAAAATCGCTGTGAAACCCTTCGATCGACGGTAGACGTGCTCAAAGGGAACGGTGATACCAAAAATTTTGGTCCACGATTTTTTTTTAAATCGAATTGAAGTAGTTAAAATTCATTACATTTTTAAGTTTAGATTTTGATACTCAGAGACTCTACACTCTCTATACGTATTGTAATTAGATTAACTTCATAATTACCTAGTTACCCAATTATTATTATGATTACATTAATTCCGTAATTAGTTCCGTTTCATTGTCGTCCTAGTAATAATTATTGTTCAATTATGTAGAAGTTATGTATTCTCTGCGATACAATACCCACGTATCATCGTATAGTCTCGACGGTCCATATCGATAGCTTAGGGGAAACATATTGTACATCCTCTTTCTGTTGAATTTACATTTCTATACGCTACAAACGTTTCTTGGCTGTTTCTCGATACTGCATAAATATTATATTTCCGTTTACTGTATCAATTTTTTAAAACATTTATTTACTGTTTCGTTTTGTCCCTCGGGAATGAAATTATTTTGTGGTTGTTAATATCCATGAATTAAATAATACTCGCTCGAAATCGTGCTAGTTTTCCTCAACAAAATTTATAGAAGTTAGCTTTATTCGGTTCTCGTTCTGGGACATTATGGAGTGGGCTTCGACGGCTAAAGTTTAAATAATATTACTACAAATGTAACGTGGCTCGTGGTTGAGAGTTCTCTAACTAAACGGAGGCAGCAAACCTTTTAAAAATCCTAAAGTCAAAATGGACATCAAATGATGCTTGATTAAAAATAAAGTTTATAGTATTAATACCGAGCTAGAACAGAAACGATGAGAAATGATTAACGATACGATGGATTACATGGAAAGAGGTTCAATAATTATGTTTCTTGGATTTTTATTAAATAACGCGTCATTGGGGCCGCAGCGCCGTTACAGCCAGCTTCACGCTGCGGTCGTTACATTAGATACAAAAAGTGTGTTACTCGAAAACGTCGACGACAAACTAATCATACCATTAATAATATTATAATTTACACGCGATCCAGCGGTCGGCCCGTGATGTCGGCGGGAGAGAACCGCCAGACCGTATTTTCCTCCTTCATCGAACGCTAGGCAGGCTCTCGTGTTGCCTGCTCTTCGATTCTGTCGACGAATTGTGTCGGTTAATGAGAATCGGTGCAAGGTCCTGTCGCGTCGTCCGCGCACGCACACGTCCTGCCGCCTTGACCGTCCGGCAGGCACAATTGGTCCTTGTTACATTTTCCGTTCTCGTATTGACAGGCGTTGGTCACTGTCCCGGGCAAACAAATGATTGGTAATTCGATTCAATTGCAGTAAAAGACCCACACCGTGGCCCAATGGCCTTCGACTCTATTACGGGGTCCCAGAAAATATTATTCACCTTGCGACCTGTTAAATTCAAACTATCGAAATAAAATACAGGTTGCTTTCAATGGTAACTGCTAAACATCTCATTTACAGTCGTAACTTTGATTTAAATACGTCCAGTAGCGATGCAGTCACTATCGCCATTGAAATACGACTTTTCATCACGACAATATTCAGCTTCTCTATATTTTTAATTAAGGGGTAGCTCTCACGAGCTTGCATTAATTAAGGTAACATACTGCTCCATATTAATTAAATAGAAGGTTCTGAAATTGATGTTCCTCCGCTAAAGAGATAAATATTTTAAAGTTTAAATTCGACCGGGTTTTGTTTTCCAAAGATAATTTAAAGAAAAAATTATTCGCAAGAAACTGTTGGAGCGAGACGTTAGTAATCAGTGATAAACAATTCTGTTCGCCAACGAAGAGTGACCACTCTATTTACCTGACCTTAATCCAATGGATTACTGCGTGTGTTTTGGTGGTCAGTGGCTCGGTGTGTGGTTGGAGGTCCGTGTTAATCGCCACAACGGTTTGGAAACGTTAAAGAACTTTTTCTTTGACGCGCGTGGAAAATGTTTACAGCGGATCGACGGGTCGTGCTTGAAATTCTGTTTGGTCGCAGTTACAGCTCGATGCATTTAAATTTGAAAGTACAGAGTATTTTCTGGGACACCCTAATATACATTTTTAAGGTCGTGATCAATTTCGCGGCGGGGCACGTCGACCGGTGACATAAAACTTGATTTACCTCTTGGGCATGACTCAGGAACGGCGACTATTCCGTATAATTTACCGCTTCCTCCCGGTGGTATCGATATGGCCGGCTTCCTGTCCCCGCTGCTCTTCATGGCAACCTCGATTTTGTGTCTGCGTCGGTAAATAACGAATGATTCAAAATATTTTCGAGTTCGGCCCTTTGTGCGATTGCGGTTGTTCGAAGTCGATCAAAATAAGAGGGGAATCATATCTGATTCAAGCTTTACGTATTATTTTATAATTCGTAACTGGTTTTTTAAATGCTTTTGTTTATCGCCAAAGGGATATTTAGGGACTTACGTCTTCCAGTCGGTCCAGTAATAGTTCTGATGGGAGATCGCCAGACCGAAGGGATAAGTGAGCGCGTTCGCGACCACGTTGATATCCTTGCTATCGATCTCCATACAGTCTGAAACGATTATCAAAAAACGGTCGGGGGGCAGGGATTATCGAGTTATTTGAGACGGTCGCGGGGGCGTCTATTAGCCGAGAAATTTCATGGGGTAGGTGTGTATTTACTTATCGTAAACGTTCCGGCGTCCGCCCAGCACAGCTCATCCGTCGCCCAATCGATACTTAATGAATTCGGTAGCTTGACGTAATCCCCTTGAAGGAAGATTTCGCGATCGGTTCCGTCCTCGTTGGCCCATTCCAATTTCGGCGATTCACGGTTCCAGTCGGACCAAAATATCTTTCTGGAACGACCAAGTTTCCACGCGTCGTTCGATTACACTTTACGTTTTGCTATTATTTTTCTTGTTTTTTTTGTGTCACCGTCTCGCCATCCACGTCGATGTCTGTCGGCTAATATATAAAGAAAGGTCCTGGAAATTCTCGGGAGGAATACTTACCCACGGTATGGATGAACGGCTATCCCTCTGGGATAGACCAGTCCGTCGGAAACGAGCACCTTACGTTTCTTCGTCTCGAGATTGGCGACCTCCACCGTCGTCTTCCCAGAATCGGTCCAGAAAATATTTCTAGAAACCCAATCGACCGTCAGTCCCTCGGGGCTGCTCACTTTCGGCAGGAACGTCTCCGCCATCGATCCGTTGTAAGTTAACTCGATTATTCGACTACCTGCAAAGTAAATCTCGTCTAGACTGCGAGTCGGGCCGATTTGGCTCTCTACTTTCGGGTAAAATTGCGTTTTAATCTCGTTTTAATTAGGCATAATCTTTGCTAGCCAAAGGACGCGTCAGGATTTCAGCAGTTGCTAAACTCACCCTTTATTTAGACTACTGTACAATACTAGGCAACAAATAAACTACAGAACTTTGTATGAGACCCGATAGGATAAAGTTCATTTAGACTGGAACATTGATACCAGATGTCCAGGATCTCTGAGTCTCGAATTTAGCGTGATCGTCCTTTGAGCGCTAGTGGTAGTCATGGGTCAGAGCTCGGTGAGAGATTTCGACGAATTACTTACCGGTGATGTCGCTCGAGTACGCTTTCCCGTTCAGGCAATCGATGTCTATCGCGACCGCCATTTGCTTGTACTCTATGTAGATCGGTGTGCCCGGTGTATCGTACGTCGCGACGGACGGTATCCTAAGCGTAGCCATTCCTTGGTTCACCAACAGGAAGTTGGACTCGTGTTTTGGCTGCGGCTTGCAGTCTGCTCCATCTCCCGTATATCCTTCGTTGCACACACAAGCGAATTGATTCTCTCCAGCCGCCACGCAAGTCGCATCTGGCGAGCAAAGGGTCGAGTCGTGTCGGCAGGACGATTGTGGCAGACACGTGAAACCATCGCCGTAAAAGCCCTGAAAGTAGCAAAAATTCCTTGATGTCGCTCTCGCGGTACGGGAGATCGTTTCTCCGCATCCATCGTTCGTGTTTCCGTATAGCTCGTCACGAAAAGCAGCTTAGAACGTTTTGATATAAAGTTGTATTCGAGATGGGCAACGTTCTTGTCTAGTTAAATATTTCGTAGAAAGAATGGAAGAGACGCGAATTTTTGTTTGATCGTGCCACGAGCACGGACACCTCAAATAGACCGAAACTGCGCGACACACGCCAATATCCGCGTGTCGTTTGATCCCTAAAGAAGCTAGCTGCAACGTTGGCGAGAGGTCGGTGCAATTTCCTCCAAAGACACGGCTTACAACCGGAAGCCTCGACTAATATCAACTGTCGGACCTAGGGCCGTACACGTCTCGACTGTCTTGCGAGTTTCTATTCCCGTAGAGTACAAAATTAGAGTTTAAATTGTAGAATGAAACGCGAGAATTTACTTTTTCGTACGTAAAAATATCAATACCTAGTGGCAGATAGGGTTTCCCTAGATCCGCGAGCGCTAAGGTCGCACGATCCTTGGATGCATAATTTACGCGACAACACCTCGCTACCTAATCGAATCGGATTACACCGGTCGATAATCGATAACACCGACGCCTGACCGTCGAATTTAACGGGCATACCGGTTGGCAGATGCAGCCGAAATTCGCGGACGTCTGATTGTATCCGCAGACCGCGTTCCTGCCACAGTTATTCAGGACGTTGCAACCGATATGGTCCTCGACGCACTGACGAATCCCGTCTCCGTTGTATCCTTCGATGCAAACGCACTTGTAGCCGCCGTCACTGGCGGACATGCACTGTGCGTTCACGTGACATTGAGACGGATTCGTCGAGCAATCGGACACCACGCATCGTCCGTCCACCATGCTGAAATCCGGGTTGCACACGCACTCGTACCTCGTGCTGGTCGGATTGTACGAGCACCGTTCGTTCTCCAAACAATCCGAGTCGACGTTGCACTCGTCTACACATCAGAAACAGACGCTCCAACATCGATCATTTATAGCATTTTTAAGGAGCCTGTCTGGTCCAAACGGCGCAGGTTTCTTAAATTAATTAATTACAAATAAGAAGGGACTTGACATTTCTTCTAACAAAATTTGAATCAGCGCTCTTCGGACCAGACTATCCCCTTAAACGGTTTCAATTCGGTTCGGGGAGGTTTCTCGAGCAAATTTCGTAGCCGGACAAGCGATGTACGGGTAAATTGTACAGCGTAGGGCTCGTGTGCCGTAGAACGGAAGCTTCGTGAAATGAATGAAAGAGGGTAGGAAAAGAATAGAAAAAAAAAGTAGCATGATATGACCGATAGGACTGCAAGTGGTTCCGTCTCCCTCGTATCCTGGATTGCAGACGCATTTGGCCAACGGTTCCTCGTGCTGGCAGGAAGCGTTCGGGTCGCAGATGTCCACGTCCAAACAGGACACCTCTGTGCCAGAACAACAAACCTCTTTCATTGATTTGGCATCGTCGTCGATTACGATTACCTTCGCGGCTCGAATGATTCTCGAATGGAGAAAAAGAGATCGATAAGCGGACGTACCTGTTTTCGTGCAGTCCATACCGTCACCCTCGTAACCAGGATTACAGCGACATTCGTAGTCCGCGGTGCTCGTCACGTAGATACACTGGGCGTAGGGATGACACCTGTTCACCACGTTGCACGATACTGTACACAAGCGTGGCCAATTATGATAATGCTCGGCCGGCGACGCTAAATTGCCTCACGTTCGAAATTTATGACGCGACCGCGTGAATCGATTACACCGATCGAATTTACGAACGATTTTACGTTCTGCCAGCTGCTTTTCTAACGCGTCGACTGTCGCGTCGAACTTTCCGTATAATTATCGTAACAGAATTTAAAAAAATACTATCTGCAACCTTTTTAAAAATTGAATACTCCAGTCGGTGGCTGAAGTGGATTGTTTTATCATTTAAAAGCCAGTAATTCCGTTTATATTGGTTCGATTACAAGCTTTGAACAAGTCGCTTCTCCAATACACTCTGCTCTAAATTTTCCTGCTCGACTCTGAGAAACTTTTCCGATTGACTGACGGTGTGCATATAATTTCGACGATGCAGCGCGACGACACGACAGTCGATGCATCGACGAACAAATCCAATCGTGGAGAAATCGAATTCAAACTTAATTAAAGTGTGCGTGAAGCGTGACGCTCGTGCCGCAAAATTGTTAATTGGTCAAATTAGCAGAAGCGAAGCGTGGTGTGTCGTACAGTGAACTCCTGACGGGCCCATCGTTTCGTGGTTGTATCCAGGCCGAGGCACGCAAATCTCCTCCGAACGGTCGTAATCGTATCCCCATGGGCACGCACAGTAGTCTTCGTAGCATTGCGGGAGCGGACGCGCCGATACTAAAACGCACGATGCAAACCGTTCGTCGCTAGCGGTTAGTGAACGTCATAATTGTAATCGGTTCGCATCACGACATCATGCTATCTCGACGTACTCGAATTATGTTTTACGTGCGATTAGTCGTCATGCATAATTTCGTTTGCTCGCGTGAATCCTTCGAGAACCGAGGGCAAGCTGATTCTCAAAAGACGGAATTTTCTAGGGACGATTCGTCCATTTTCGTAAAATTAGAATGATGTGCCAGCGAGTCGGTTCATAAATTCTTTTGCTCGCGGCCCTTGATACCGCATTCTCTTTGAGGGGTGATTTCCCCCCTCGAAGCGAATTATGGTACGAACGAGAAATAGGTATCTGTTATGGTTGACCTACTCTACTTGTATACAAAGTTTTATAATTTTTTAAATTTATGGGTCCGCAAACTTGTTAAGGGAACGTTAAATAAAAACGACTGAATTCGTGAACTGGCTCGATAACTTTCTTCTCCTCGAGAATGCGAGAAATTCGTCCACAAAGGATCGAGGTCTCTATTAAAATATACAAAGTAAGCTTGCATTTTCTGCGAGACGAAGATCTTCCTCGTAGACGTTCGTCTCCTGATAACGGCAGGAACAACGAACCGACGTGTCAGATCCTAACAAAGGTTCTTCAAAGGGGTAGAAAAAGAATATTTTGTATAGTCGACCCTTTCGATACTCACAGTCCCGATCGTAGTCGACGGTTCTGGTTTCCTCTTCTTCCTGGCGCATGCATTCGTTGTTCCGGTATTCCCAACCGTCCGGGCACCAGCACATCTCCTCCAAGCATTGCGGTTTCGGCGGTTCGTCCGTTGTGGTCACGTCAATTTCCAGAGCGCACGTGTAACCATCGCCTGGAAACGATTGCGATCATTCGAACGGAAGCTGATTACGAAAACACGCTTACGGATCGCGGATCCGCGAAACCTCGCAATGCGGCTTTTCCTGCGAAAATCTACGCGAATCGACCACCGTTCCACCATTGTAATTCAATTTGAACGCGAGGCATGTGCGCCAATTGCTTCCACGAACTCCCTTTCCAACTTTCTGCCATCGAACGAAGACCTCCGCGCGGCACAGTGAAACTTGTTACTTATAAGTTCGTCGCCCTCGATGATATTAACTGCCACGCTTCGCAGGAAGAGTTTAATTGTTACGGTCGAAACAGCGAATCAATTCTGGTCAACAAGGTGTTCAAGGGTTGAAGGTGGAACGATCGTGGAAATTAACAATCGTTTCCAACTGATTGGAAATCATTTTTGGAATTAATACCAGGCGAAGAGTAATTGTTAATTCTTTGCGGCGATGTAGGTTTACACAACCCCGCAGTCAATTGGTTTTCGCGGCACGCACGGTCTCTAAGGTTATTTCAGAAGCTACATTTCTCAAGCTACTTAAACATTTAAACGAGATCTTGCGGGTCGCGTTCTCCGACTCTAATCACAGTTTATACTCGAGCGGATTCAAATCTGAGCTAGAAATGAACTCTGGGACGTTGTCCGGTTGCCACTCTAGAGGTTGAATTATGCATCTATACGTACGCACACGCGTGACTAATAATCCTGAAGAAATATTTCTATTGGAATATATTCAGTATAATAAGAATCTTCAAATTTCTTGAGATTAACAAAGGAAGTGCAATGGTAGATTCCAGTTATTTCCTCTCAAAATGTAAGTGAAAATTGATCTTACCAAGGTAACCTGGTAAACAGACGCATACGTGCTTGTCCCCGATGAAACTGCAGACGCCATGGGGGGAACAGTTATCCTCGACTTCGCAGGAACCTGCGAGAACATCGTGTGATAACATAATCGCGAGATTTTTGGACCTTAATTAAAATAATCGCAAGGTACCTCGTTGCACAGCGTAACAGCCCTGCTCTGTGTCCTCGAAACCAAGCATGCAGGAGCATCTGGGCATGCCTTCGACCATTAAACACTGCTCGAAGCCACCGCAACGAGTATCCTCGCACGATGGAAGCCCTAAGTTTCCAACAGAGGATGATCCATTATTTATTGACCACTAATAAAGCAGAGCATTCTTACGAGCCAAACGTCTGACCATAGACGAGGTATAAAATAGCTTGCGAGGAAACTTATCATTCCCATATCAGTTTTAGAATTCGAATTTAGCACTCATAGCGTTTGGAAATAAGACTAAGTATTCTCTATCGATTTTATTCTTGGGCAAACACTAGCTCCGCGTTAGAAAAGGTTACCAGAGCATGGTAACTCCGACGATGGTGTCGTCTGCTTGTGGGATCGTTCGCGGGTTACATCGGGAGAAAATCACTACACCGTATTTGCGCTGATAGTTTTTATTCTGGCTGGGAAGGAAAAAAAGGGAAGTTGCCAGAGATTTTCGACGAAAAAAAAAAAATTTCAATTTCTTCTGAAACAAGTATTTTTGCTTGCGGTGGTCAATTACAATCATATTGTGGCGACCGTAGGCCGCCGACACTTGAGCGAGCGGAAACATACCGGGGCACGTAGCCTCGCTATGTTCGAGCCCGCGTCGTCGAGGCCAGTTGGTCACGAGACCCAACGCGAGCCAGCCAGAATAAAAACTATCAGCGCAAATACGGTGTAGTGATTTTCTCCCGATGTAACCCGCGAACGATCCCACATGCTGATAAACTTACTATCGCAAGAACGACCATCCCCGGAGAAGCCTGGTCTGCATTGACAGGTGTGGCTACCCTCCTGGTTGATGCACTGTGCGTCTGGGGAGCACACGTGATTTCCAGCGGTGCACTCGTTCACGTCCACGCAGATCGCGCTACCGTCTTCTTCGTACAAATATTGATATCTACGCGGCAATAATAAACAAACGAAAAGCGCTCAGTATCTCAATAATCGTGATTCGACCCGTAAGTCTCGTAATTCGTCGCGCATAAACGAATTGAGAGATCTTACCCAGGATTGCAGACACACTTGAAATCGTCTCCTTCGACGATGCAGTTGCTGTGATCGGTGCAAGTGTGTCTCCCTTGAATGCAAGGGTCCTCCTCCTCCAAGGGCGTCACTTTCGTGTTTACGGCGAAACGTATGATTCCTTCCGTGGCTTCGTAAGTCGTGACGCCCCTGGAGTGCTTGAGCCGCGTGGTGTCGTCTTCAGGGTCAGAGACCAGGTACGGACACTCGTGATAGACGATCGTTTGGTCCTGCGTGAAGCTCAGATCTCGTTCCCCGTTACCGTCGTTCACCTTGCAAATCCTCTCGCTTCGAGAACGAATCACTCCGGGTTGCGCTTTCGTGTAAAGTTCGTCGTAGTCGCCGTAATTCACTCGGGTATCCGCCGACAACAGCGGCACCGAACCTTGGATATCCGCCTCCATCTTCAGCTGTCCGAAAACGTCCAGCCCGAGGTAATTGCTTCGGATCGTCACCTTGTAGTCCGACGGAGGGAACGTCAGTTCCGTCGTGTGGTTGAACAGACCACCTGAATCGATCGTTTCGGGCGTTTTAACGACGTTTTCGGAAAGGGTGAATAACGATAGACGGTACCTGTCAGCTCGTATCCGTTCATCGTGTCGCCAACAGGTTTCGCGAACAGCCAGCCGATCACTCCGCCCAGATTTCCGAGCAGTTGGAAACTGGCGCCGATCCCCTCGGGCATCCTCGACAGGGCAGTATACGTCCTTCCGTCCTCCGTTTGCACGTAACACTGCAGGTCCCTCGACGGAAACTCAATGCCATTGATGGTCCCGGAAATGCGTCCAATTACGCGAAGCGGTACGTCTAAAAAAATTTCGATAGCCCCATCAAACTTATTACCATCGTACTTATTTATAGTTATATAGATCTTCAGAAGTTCCTTCTTAAAATCACTGTAAAGACCAAAGTCAAAGAGTCAGATTTTGGTCTTAGAATCGCGTCTCAATCTGCAGTAGCTATTAATATAGATCTACGGCGTCGTTCAAAGGGGTCCGTGAGTCTCTTTTTGTAAATTTGGTCTTTTACGAGGTCATCGAAGGAGCAGTCGTGCACTTTTCGTAATCTATGAATAGATCAGAGAGACCGTGTACTGACGAGTGGAGACGTCTGTTATTGGGCAACTGTTTCGCGACTCTCAAAGGGACTGGTTAAAGTCACGCGAGTATGAAGAAATCCTTTTGAAGCGGATTTTTATGTCCCGTGGCCATCGTGGAGGGTCGCGACGACGCCCAGATAATTAGACGTCCCCAAAGTTTCGGTCGAACCGTCGACGTTTCTTACCGTTTGGTTGACAGGATTTGCCGTTGCCAAAGAATCCTTGCTTGCAACGACAGCAGAAACCGATCTCGTAGTCGACGCACGTTGCTTTGCTGTGGCAAGTCGTTGCCCCTGTTCTGCAGCTGGCCGCCTGGTTCGTCGCGTTGACGTCTGGGCAATAAAGGATCTACAGTCGATTATTCCAAAATAGCCATCTCCGTTCGGAGATGGGATCGAGCATCTCGCGAATCAACTTGAAATTTCGGCTCAAACTCTTTCTCGTAGAATAGTCATATCTAACATCGAGTTCGTCGACAATATTTAGAAATCGTAGACACCTTAGAGAACTTACCCTCGATGTTGTCGGGGACCTTGATGTCCTCGTCATCGGATATGGGTCCCACCTGGAAGATCCACTGTCCAGGTCTGTTAGTATTCGACCACCTGGAAAGCAATAATTTTTAGGGCCCCGATCGCTTTAATTATCGAGAACTAATCGATCGACTCACTTGTCGACGTTCTGAATCTGATCCGTGCCGGAACCCTTCAAGGTGTACATTCTTCCCTCGCTCATAAATCCTGCCTGCGCCTTGGCGTCCGGCAGGCCGCTGGGGTGCGATTCGCCTTGAATCCACTGTATCCCATTATCCGGGTACAGCAACTCCGTGTAGGAATGCGTGCCGTTCGAAGCGACGGCCACTTGGTACGTGTTCACCTAAGAGAAGCATCGTCATCAACGGTTACGGTCAGGATGATTTATTCCACGGCGATTTTGCAAATGTCAGACGTTCGTTCGGCTTACTTTGTCGCTTCCCTTGTTGAAGTAGCCGACGTCCAGCCAGGTGGCGATGAACACGTGCGTGGGCATGAAGTCAGCCGCGTCCTTGAACGCGCTGCGAACCATTCCTCCGGCTCTCGCGAGAACGTCCGGTGAATCCGTTTCGCCGTAATAGACCCTTCCGGATCCTCTGGTGTCCACGTGGGTGTAGAGCGGCGCGATAACCGGATCGTCCAGCGGGAACGCGATATTGAAGAACCTCTGCATCGCTCTGGAGAACGTGAGCACGCCATTCGCGTTTACCTGGAACGGGGTCAGACACAACCCTTTTAGCCATTCATTTCGGGCGCCCTTAGCGAGTAGAGATGCTGAAAGAGAGATCTCCGTGGGATGGGTACTGTTTTTAAACTCTTCGGGAGCTCGATAGCGTCTTCCATAAAAGTTTCATGCAACATACTAGGGTAGATCATCAGGTAAATCGTCGATGACGTAACGAAACGTCTTACGATTCGTACACACATGCTTACGGAGGCGTTGTTCCGTGATCGTTTCATTCCAGAAATGCTATCTAGCAAGATTAAGCTTCCACAGATTTTTGCTAGGTTATTTGCAAAAAATATATGTGGCGAAAGCTACTAGAGAAACTAGTTTTCGAGATGAACCTAAGATGGACAGAAATAATTTGGTTTCGTTTTTAAGTACAAGGTAGCCCGGTTAAATTGAAAAGGGCCCGATTTCGTGGCAGGCGTCGTTGTCTGAAAGCGCGGAGGCGTCGCGTCGCGTCGTCAATTGGCTAAACTGAAAGGCGCGCGCGTTGTTCCACATTCGCCGCGGGAGCAGCTGTCCCCCCCAGGCCAGGGAAATGTTCCTCGTCATTAACGGGACGAAATTAAAACTCTGTGGAAAGACTATTTTCGCTCGCTGCGAATGTTCGCGTCCATGCCGTTGTCTGGACCAGTCTGTCATTCGTCGCGACGCGTATTTTCGGCCTAACAATTTGATTTTGAAATAAAGTATGGTTCGATTTGAATTCTTAAGACACGTTGCCTTCTAATCAAAACATCCTCAGTCACTCACTTTAAATTAGTGTCTCCCATACGCAACTTTGTTTTCGAAAACACGAACAGAATTTTTGAAAGACGCGTAACGTTACCATGTACTTTTCGGCACGGAATAAAGGAGATTTGTGCGAGTAATCCATAGGGAGATTCATCGAGCGGAAGCACACTCGAGTGCACGCGTACTCGACGGCTATTGAGAGTCGCTCTTCTCGAAAATGTAGCATCGCGTGGAAACATTTTATTTTACGTTTCCGACCCGCCATCCGGCCCCCAGCTTTCGACACCGATCTCTCGACTGTTTCGAAGCTACGGAACGCACCATGTGCAACACAGAGATTCTGATTTATCTTCTGGCAAAGGAGATTATCGCGCTGATCGAACGAACGAAGCGTGAACGTGCAAACAGTTGGGCAAAGACGGAAGCAAGGCCCAGATAACAACGATGTCCGTTAACTGGCGATGTTTAACGCGACAACCGAATTCCGGTCTCGTTTCGGACGTTTCTCACGTCCCGGTTTCTGGACGCTAATAGTGCATGCGCAGCTCGAACTTCGCGCCAAGAGTTCGATGCTCCTATTGTTTTCACGTGACGTTAATATCACGGGCGCCGCGACGAATTCATCATCCAAGCCACATATCGTTAAACGACCGACCCAGTCACGCGAATTGATATAAATTGGACCGACGGAGCAACGATCCTTCGACGTTGCTGACCCACCGCACTGTGGTCCATATCGGATAGCAATATTTTTCCAAAACATCAGCTTTCTCGTACAGATATCCACTAAATTTCTTAAGTGTCCGACAATCTCAAAAATCACGAGATTAATGTGCGGTGATAGTTCACGATTTCGATTAAGTGAACGATGAGTCCGGATCCGAATCTCGGTACAGCGATCAGATCGACCTATTTCCCTCCTCACCCCGTCATTCTACGACATCGTGCAAAAAACGACGTAAAACTAGACCAATCAACGGGAACTTTAATCATCCCCCGGGATCGATCGCGATCAATCGTCGAGCCTTTCCGTTTCGGTACGACCAATTTCGCGCCCGATGTCTCTAAGAAACAAAAAGGCCAGGAGTCCTCGTAATTATTCCAATCGGCCAACGCGGCTTTTCTCTTCTTTCAATTTGTCAGCGATCGATAGCAATCGGTGTGGATCAGCTTCCGATCAGACGATTTTACTCCCGATAATTGCTAGCACGCTGACGATCATCGATAATCGATACCCGCGCGCGACAGATTGCTCGTGAGTGGTCATTTGTGGTCGGATTGATGCTATACGTGTCGACGATATTCGAGCAATTCGATACCGAAGTACTTACGCTCTTAGAAAGTGTTCGTTGATATTTTTTTTAACAATTTCAAGGAATTCGAAATTCTGGCATTGTTCATGGTACGTTCGAAAAATTCATGCAAAATGCTGTATAGTTCTGCTCGGAAAGATAATTTCATATTATTTAGTATGTAACGCTCAGATAAATGATATGATTATCCTAATTTATCTCTTTATCTCTTTGCGGACGATGAACTCGTATATACGTTTCACAAATTAATTAAGAGCGAGCATCGTGAACCGTGTGTTCGTACATTTACATTACAAGCATAATTATCAATTCTGTATTAAACATGAGTCCTTACAATGACTTCGTTAAATAAAAGAAAGCGGTCCCACGAAATAGTATTTGGGTTCAATGCTTTAATTTCGCTTCTTTTGAAATTCGTTTAATTCGGATGTTTCTCACACTCCAACGAAGCCAATTAATTAATCTTAAAAGCAATAGTCCTTAAAAAAAATGACAAGACACTTTTTTATAGGAAGTACAATCTGTTAGCAAAGAGAAGTCTACTCAACATCGATAGATAAACATTTAATTCATTTGTTCCCAGGATATCATGTGGTGGGTTATTATGTTCGTCTCAACAAACGTCTCATTTAAAAAAATTAATTTGATTTTGATATCTCCCTCACCACAATACCTAATACCCTCAGCCGTGCCATCAATTTTTGTAAAAATATTTTTTTCGTAATTATTGTCCTTCGTGAGACATTCCACCGTTTCCGATTTACTCTAGAGAATCGATAGTATCGATACGGTATCGTTCCCATGGCCGGTGATCATCGATCGATCTTGTTCCCGCTTTCCGTGGACGTTTTGACACTCTCCAGCGTTTCCGAGACAGCGAGCGCGTTCGTGTCTCGCCTATCTCCGTGGCGGGGCTATCGCAGGGGTCGTAGGTCGCAGCTGAGCCGATGACACACACGCACACACATAATCCCCGGTAATCGGCGGCGCGGAGAAAACGATGAAAATAGATAGGGCTGGCTGGGAGGCAATACGTGGAATCCATCTCGCGAGTCGATTCTTTTCCTGATGTCGACGATTATCCCCGGTCGATTGATAAATAAAAACCATCGATCGCCTGTGGATCGCGGATAAATCAAATCCTGTCATCTTGAATTCCCATAGATTTTATAGGAATTTTTTAGTTCCCTGCTAACGCAATTAAGATTAGACTTAATAGCGGCCTAACGTTGAATCTCGTTTGTTGCCAAATTTCGGACGGCGATTAATTCAGATTGGCCGGGAAAAAGAGCTTTGGCGTAACAAAAGGCAACTCGGCGTCCCTCTTCCCGATTTCCAAAGAAATTAGAGGCGAAAGTAGATTTCACGACCGCCTTGAAAACCGCGGGACTCGAGAGCTTCAATTAACCGGGGCGAACAACAACGGATCCCCGCGCGACTGCGTTAAATACCAACTTCGTGCTCGTTTAAACTTCAAAACTCGATCATTTCACGGGACACTTTGCAGGGATAACGAGATTCGACCAACTCCCTCTTTCGCTAGGCCGCCGTTTCGCGAAGCTCCAATTTTCCACGCAGCCCCGCGACGCTTTTGTCGCGACGGCCAGGACTCGATCAATCGGTAAACAAAATAGGGAAAGGTTCAGTTTTTTGTTACAGTTAAATTCAAAACGATTTTCTTTAGCTCGAACAAAGCTACGAGAATATCGTGGGCATAGAGGGTTGATCTTGGGGCTGTGATTAGGGCATCGAATGGGATCGATCCGATCCTGACGTCGGCGAATCGTGTACCTACGAGGGAAGAAAAAAAGAAGCAGGGTCTTAGCACGCGCTAACGCAATCGTGTAATCGGCCGCAATCATTTTGATGACTGCGAATCGTCGACGATAACCGACGGAATGGAGATGATTGTCGTGTAGGCAGAACTTCTAAGTAGACCGTCGCTGATATATCGCTGCGTATATCTGTGTCAATCGGTTCGTCACGGAATCGGCGCGAGCTTTGCATGACAAACATCGTTCCACGCGAAATCGGCCATTTTTCGAAGCAACATCCCGAATTTTCCCGACATTTTTCTACGGATCGCAGTTCTCGGCGGCATTTAAATGCACCCCATATTTCGTGGCGTTGAGCCTCCGGAGACATTTTTCATCGAGAAAAAGTCTAGTATCGTCTCCCGCGCCTCCACTTTGCCCGTCTTCCTACATTTGTCAAGACCTGTTACAATGAACCGACCATTCGTTTCCAATTGTCTCTTAAAATACTTGGATGCTCAGTTCCATCGAAAGACACTTTAAATATTATTTGTCTTAAAAAATGAAGCTGGTAGCTGTTGAGAGTGATCTTGTGTTGAAGTGTTGTTGCGGAGACTATAACTTCCGAAAGCAACAGTTGGCCTCTTGCCCCTAAATGTAAATATTCTATCGTGCTCGTCGTTGCACTATGTATGAAGGTATTCTACTGCTCTGCTCGAGTAAATCGTCGTTTCCCCAACCATGAAGATAGCAGAAAACAAATATAAACATACAGACTTACATGACGAGTGGGCGTTGCAAACTACGTAAAATTTACAGATTTCTATTTTCTATTTCTATTTTCGTTTCGTTCTTTCGCGAAATCCACTTCACACAGAACAGTCCACGTTCCAAGCGCGTTCAGACAAGTTCGTTATTGGAAATGCTCGGAGGAACAAGGGCAGGGTTAATTTAATTAACAGCAGGGCTAATAATTGGTCTTCGTCGGCGATGACGTAGCGAACGATCTTGAAGAATCGCGAGCGGAATTTCACAACCTCCTCCCACAAATCGTCAGTTAACTAATGTGGGAAAGCGTCAAGGCTAATTGCCCGCATTTACACAGTAAATCGCCCGTCGCATTAGCGTCCATCTTGATGCACGCGTTGAAACCAGTGGCATTTCCGTTGACCACGCGTTCAGCAGATGCTATCGCGAACGGACACGTGGAAACCAACAGGTATTCGCGATTGCGCGTTACTTGCAAGACAATTGCCAACCGGAGACGAATTAAATAATATCAACGCGAAAGGTTAATTAGAGAGACGAACATCGTCGTTCCAAAATTTTCGTCCGTCTCACCGATTTATCGCCAGTCCTGCTGGTTTGCGTAACCGGGGGCTCGTTAAATGTTTATCTGATGCATGGCTGGATCGCAGCTTTCAACCGAGCGAAACGGATCGAGGGAAGTCTCTGTGCAGATCCGAGCTATCGGGACGCGATCTTGATGAATGAAGACGTTCGAATACGCGGATGCTCGTCGCGTATCTTCCCGATCGAACCTCGGTCCTCGAGTCGTTAACGAGTTTCCCTCAATTATTGATACACTGCATATATCGAAATGGAATGATTATTAGCCAAATAAAAACGAGAAAGCAAAATGTGCACGGTGGAAGTTCATCAAACAGGGTGAAAGGGCGAGATTCAGTAGTCTGTCAATTAAATTTTAGGTTCTTGTAAAAAGAAATTGTTGAACTTATAAATTGAATTTTAAATTAAATTTGAACCTTATGCTAACGCGATAAACAGATTTAAAAAAAAACAAACATCCGGCTGTTTGGTGCATTAAACGTGCATGACCTCGGTGTCGGGAGGAGTACGCGTCATCGACGACGCGTCGATGATTCGGCACGGTGATTGAATTATTGACCGTGTCGATGAATGGAGCCGAGAGGCATAATCGCGTCAAAGCACGTGGTCGACGTTTACGAGGCGGAACGCACGTATTTCAAGATCGAAATCTCGAGGCTTGACCTTTCTTCCATAGGTGCTTAACGTTGCAACGCTAATCTTTTAACATTTTTGTTTCGAAATTAGTTTTACATATATTAATTACAGTAATCTGAAGTTTATTATTTCGCGTTCCAGTACAATGTTGCGATACCACGGTGCAATATTAAAAATAACGAATTAACCATGCAAGTATTGTGTAGCAGTATTTTCGAGACTAGAACGAAACTCTACTCGGTCACACGCGACGATATCGAGGCTGACACGCTACCCGTACGAGATCGACTAATTTGACCAATGAAAAGCAGGACGTAGTGTTTAATTGGTCACGATTAACTGTATACGAATCAAGTTTTATTAAAACACGAGACCACTCAAAAGTTGGACGTAAGAATACGAACGTACGTCTTGCCTACCAGTTGGAAGAAAATTTCCGAAAAAATACAATTGCGTTACGCGCGGGTCAAGCTTATGACATGACTACTTTTCTATTACCCTTGACCCTAACCTAAGCCTTAACCCCTTGGAAAGAACTCTTATGCTTGATAGGAATTCTCAAGAGTGAAACTCAAACTATCCTGCGGGCACATTGAGCTTTATCTTTTTTAACAAATTTCAATTTTAAGTGTGATCGTCAAAGACGAATTGCCCGCGAAAATTAGAAGTCGCGGGACGTTAATTGGCTCGACCTCGTCGCGCATTTCCCTTCGTTTTTTTTCAATGCTGCACTTTTAATGGAAACATGACGCTGCGTGCCATGAGATCATGCACCTTGGTTGGCTCGGATCAATTAGAACGAAGATTCCCCCGGATACGTAGCTGCAATCAACGTTCATTCACGTTAGCTAGACGTCGAATCGGTTCGTGGAACTAGTGAGATCATCGCGTCCTGCGGGACGTCTCTAATCTGATCCGTGTTTGCGCACCGTGACTCAAAACTCTTAACGCGTAGGCCTAACCTTGGCTGGCCGATTTCCCGAAAATCATTGTGGCCAAGGCTAGATAAAATCGAGGAAATCTTATCGCTTCCGCGTTTTCCACGCATCGTGCGCGAAGATCGAGCTCTTTCCGCGAATTCCGAGGCTTTGTCTCGAGCAGAGACGGGACAAAGTTCTTGTTCGAAAATTTCCAGCAACGAAGAAACGATAAACGATCGTCCATCCCGCTACTCGTTGAATAAAAATAGAAACTTAAATATCTCGCAATGTACGGATGCAAAGTTAACCCTTTTGGACTTGTCTATGTCACGAATGAGTTGCTCTACGTTTGGTTTATTCAAAATTTCTGTCCGCGTAAGGACTTTCCCTTTCCCGGATCCACGAGACGCGAGAAACACAAACCGTGCGTCGACCCAAGCGCAATTAAGCGATTGCGCGCCGGCTGCGGAGCCGTTTGACCGTCATCGCGGACAATGAATTCGTGTCATGCCAGAAGATGACGGCAGATTAGACCACGAGCCGAATTAAGGGGATGACCGAATGTCCCCCCGGCTTTTCTTCGCTCAGCGCGAATTAATATTAACGAAGGAATTACTCTGCCACGCCAACGTGGCGGTCTTTTCAGCGAGCGCGTCGCGCTTCAATCTTTTTCACGCGACTCGATCGGGACACGGGCTTTTAGGCTCTTCTCTCAGCTAAACGACGGTGACAGCATTGAACAGTATTACGGCTACACCTAGGCGAATACCGTATACGGAGTTAGCTAAACATCTTGAATACAAAAGAATTGTTCTATACCAAGGGAGAAGGAAAACTTCGTCCCACCGAAGATCGAGTTTCGAGCACTTTGGCGAGGCATTGTAGGCATGAAAGCGGCCTTACGCGACGAGTTTACGTTAGGGGAGGAGAAAACACGTTTCCTCTCGCGACGTTGTCTTAATTTAAAACGTTAAATAAACGATCGCGCGGCCGAAGAACGTCCCCTTTCCCCGCGAGTCGCGTAAATAGAGGCACGCGCGCAACGTGTTTATACAGTTCGCGCGCTGGTAGAGTAAATGCGCCGCGGCAACGTTCAAACCATCCCAGCGCGGCTCTTCCCGCGGTTTCACCGTGTATTTTTGTGAGCACCGAAATTAAACACGGCCGTATACTGGCCAACGCTGTCCGATGGAAATTACTCGCCGCCGCGGATAAAAATAACAATTTTTCGGCGAGAATCGCGTCCTGAAGTTATTTTTCGAGTAATCGAAAAATATTCTTCGCCCCACCCCCAGATTTATTTGTGGTCCAATAAATTCTGGCGTCGCTTCTTTGAACACGAAGACACGTAAGTTAGTATTGTGTCGCGCGAGTCCAAAGGAATGGAGCATTCCAAATGCCAATACAATATCTTTACATTCTAAAAATATATTGCGCTTGATATGCAACGTGATTCTCAACCCCTGAACTCAGCTTCTTTAAGGACAAACTATTAAAAAAATTCAACCTGATATTGATCTTATCACGACATTGTCGTATTATATAATTACGTAATTTAATAACGAAGCTCGGAATCGCAGTAGTAAACCACGAGACCGAGCAATTTGACCAATGAAAAACGTGACACAACGAGCCTGACATAGGTCACGAACTGTCTACGAGTCGAGTTTTCCTCCCGCGAAAATAGTTCCTCTCTTGATAAAACGTTCTACCGTAATGGTCGAAATTAATTACAATCGTGGCAATTTAAACCTCCCGGGGCCTTGGAACAAACGAGAATTAAAACTGTCGTTTGCTATCCATCGATGTCAGAGTTGACAACGGTTTGAAATAGTCGAGCGAAATCGTTTCTACTCACGAAAATGTAGTTGTAAATTTTGTCATAGAAGGCGATCGGTGTCTTCAGTGTGACCTCCGCGGAAACTAGCAATTCGTTGACGTTGCTCTGCAGGATCGAGGTGCCGGGGGTCGCGTAAGGGTACAGGTCGCTCTTGGATAACGCCGCGGCGAAGGGCACGAGCAGGGCCACGACGGCCGCCAGCCACAAAACGCTGAAACGCGCGCGACGAGTCATTCTCTCGGACTGCCTTCACGCTACTGTCGATCCGCGCGTCCACGAGCCGTCGTCTTGCCGCCCCCTAATCGCCTTTACCCGCTCATCCTCTCTTCTTTCGAACCCACGAAACGCTCGTCTGCTGGCTCCCGTGCCTCCGATAATTTCAAGCTCGAAACCCCCACCCTGGACCACACGAATCGCCTCCGAGAGGGCTCGTGCAACTATCCCGCCGATCGCTTTTCGCGCGGACGCCAGACGTCGCGACACCGGACTCCAGTCACGCCTTCTCGTCGATAATTCATTTATTCGTATTTTGAAAATGAATAAAAATATTGACACGATCGAGAAACAGCCAAATATTTTCACTGCAGGCGGTGCGTAAAAAAGTGTTTACAGTTTCGAGCGTCGTTAAATTGAATAAGAAATCGTCGCTGGAGATAGATCGGTAATTGAACTTCGACTGGTCAGCCTCCGCGGCGATAATAATAATGTGGCTGCGTAAAGAATCGAATTTAAATAATATTACGATTAATTGTTATTGTATCGTAGTAAAGTGATTATGGAATAATACGGAATACTAGCGAGAACGTTACGCCGCGTCTATTTTTATACCATAAGAAGTTATCTGTTATCTGTTATGCGTAATACAATCGACTCGGCGGCGCGCGTACAGAGTCGATTGACTCAATTGCACCTTCGATCCATTCTAATGCCAAGGTCTCTGGGATCATGAGGCAGCGTAATTTTCACGGGTACATTTTTTCAATTTAATTGCGGCTATAATCAGCTTCCGTGTGCAACCGGTGCAATTGAGATCCAAGGTCGGTCTACTTAGCATTCCGAGCCTACGCCGAACGATCTTAAAGATTCAACGATTATTGGGCCGTCTGATTTAAATGCCCCCAGATACGACACCTCCAATGAAAATTTATTTCGTTCCGTCATTTACGAGAGAACATCGGAGTAATTTGTTTCTTTCGAACGTTGCATAAATTAGCCTCGAGACATATTAGTCGCGATTATTAGTATGCTGGCAAATGGCACCTCGGGGTAGAAGTGACTTTCACAGATAGATGACGTAAATAGTGCTCGTACAATTTATCCGAATCTGCTTGTCGAGGCGAAGTGTATTTTGAGCACAAGTCACGCAGCTTTGGACGTGGAAGCTATGTGCTTGGCACGTACCTTTTCGGAAGTGATCTTATTCCTTCGTCAGCTCTATTATAAGCTCTGTGCGATAGTCGTCAATTGTCAGAATTGAACAGTAAAAATAAGTGCATTACTTTGAAATTGTCAAGATATTTCAAATCGAAGAAATGCAATTTCCTCAAGGAGAACTTTTACGTAAGAAAATGTTACGCGCGCGAGCAGATCATTCCGAAGCGATATATCGAAAGGAAATGAAATCAGGCAATTAGTAGCAAAGACAATTATACATTCAACCTCGTTTGCAGATGTAGTTAACTAAGATCCGGTAAACGAAACAATCGTCTTGCGAGACCTCGCGTTGGTTGTCTTATTCAACAGTTTCGATTCATTCTTTCACCCGGAATCATCCCTATCCGATGCACCCTGCACGGATTGAGCAAATCTTCCGAAAATGGTCGAGTTTTCAAGTTTCCAAAGGGTGCATCGTTCCTTCGAAATGAACACAGGCATGGTGCCAGAGGCCCAGAAGGCTCGAACATCCACGAAAATCATTGTTCCTCTTCCGCATCGTTAGCGCACATCCGTGCCTCGTTGTTTCCCGTCTAATTACAGTCGCGTTCTTACCTGCGCCGTTGCATTCAATCTCTACCATTCGTTTTCCCGCAATTACACCGGGCTTGGTCGTGGCTCCTTGCGCCGGTGCTCATTTTCTCTCCGAACAACATTACGACAGATTAATGCGAATCATTATTATTAAGTACTGAAAACTTTTCGCGAGATGCGTTACACCTTAAAAGACGAGCTCTACTTCGAATTACCCGAAATCGATTCTTTTTCTGCGGAACAACAACGAAGTTATTCTTTTCTCAAATTAGAAATTGTGCCAGCCTTGATTAGAAATCCCTATACTAGTTAGGGGTTGAATTGAACACGATTCTTGGTACACCGTTATTCGCAGATGAAAATTTAGATCGAGGAATTGTTGGAAACTCGCAAGAAAATTCATAGGAATGCACGAGCGCGAGTTGTCAGCCGTGGAATGACGGTCAGTCGCGTGCAAACGGAGGTGGACCTACATTCGGCGTCTACGCTGTCTGGCGCGGCGTAGAACGTTCCGATAAATTGTCTGTGGAATTCGTCAGCGGCATCTGTCCCTCCCTCGTGCGCCGTTTTTGCCGCGTCTCCGCGGAACGGAATTGAAGACGGGAATTCTGGGGACAGGGAACGGAGACGGTAGCGCGGAATACCGAACGCGCTCGCTACACGTTGTAAATTGATCTTTATTACAAGAAATTACGTGACTAATTTGTACATATAAAATATAAATATGGTACAAGTACTATGGTACAGTAGACGCTTGCGTGTGGTACATTCTGTCTTATTGTGCGAGCGCGCGCGCTCCTGTGTCTGTGTATACGCTTTATTCTTTCAGCGGGATTGCGGAGGTCGGTTATTTTCTTAGTCGATAACTTACTATTGGCGCTAGTACTCGTTAATCGTTGCTAATTTGTATTTGCGGCAGACGGAGTGACGACGCTTTTTAACTCGAACGGAAACGAGGGGGCTGGAGAAGGGTACAAAGGAACACAAATCGTTCGGGATAACTCTAGACGCGGAAATCGAGTCTTTCTAGGGCAGCCTGGAAGAAGATGGCGCCTGGAAGATGTCGACGGGGAAAGAGAGGGTTCGCGAAACGAATCGGAGGGAAAGGGGGGTGGACCGTGGTACGCGATAGCGGGTCAAGAACAGTCTAAAACACGGACGAATAGCGTACGGGTTCCTTTAACAACGGACAACGATACAGGAAACTCGGCTTAGATCGTTTGTTCCGGTAGCTTCGAGAACGGTTCTCTGGAATAACGGGGATCGGCGGTGCTGCTCGTTGAGCGTTCTCGAGAACGTAACCAGTCTAAATCGTTAGATCGCGCGTCCGACATGCCATTGACGTAACGATTTGTCGTACAAACGTCTCTCGCGTCGAGTCGCAGCGATAATAGTATGCCAGCTCCGTACAGGGGACCCACAGACGTAACGATTCTTCATACAATAATTTGTACAATTATCGTTGATACGATTGTTTGAACGATAAGTGTAAAGTGTGGGGGGTTGTCGCGCAACCTGTTGCGGGACACGGCCATATTGGATTCAAGTACAGCTCTGTTACACGAGTATCGCTACAACTCGATCGAATCTTCGTGGAATTATTCGTCTATATTTTCTAATATTGCTATACAGTACGTCCACGTGAGAAATGAAAATTTCTGGACATTTGATTAGGTAAATTTCAATGGATTTAAAATGAGGTTCTGTTTATTGGTTTTGAATTCACTGAATTTTTTACTCGTTGGATGGACTCTATTTTGGAGAACGCTATTGTAGAACAACCCTACACATTTTATAATCGTTGAGCAGTCGAATCAATTTCCATGGACCCAACCATCACCAACCGCAATAAGTATAAAAAGGAATTAAGCTCGTAGACTGGCAGTTTCGGAGTTCGCGATTAAAACTATTCTTAAAAACCATTCAGACAAGTCCTACCAAGAATCACTTTCGCCTCTGTACTTCACACAAAGAATCTCTTAATCATCGCGAACGGTTTCACGAATTTCTATCGTTTATCAAACCACCAGTACACATTTTGTACAACCACACGCATTTTATAATAATCAACACTCGTATCGTATTTGTCAACTACAGATCGTACCGACCAAAATTCGACCATTTTTAACACCTATTCCAGGGATCTATTCGGTTGTAAAATTAATTCTACAAGAAAAATCGTTACGTCCGTGGCCCTCGGAAGATGAATCCTTGGTAGAATCCGAGCGAAAATTACTCGACATTGTCCACATTCTACTTACTCATGGTAGCAGGTTCTTTTTAACCCCAGACTTTCTTTCCCCCGTTTATAAACGCGATACGTAGTCGCGGAACGAAGGCAACTCGGCCAGAACGACGGGTGGTTTTCATCGATTCGTATCAGAACGCTGGAATCTCTCTATTTCTGCTGCGCATTACCGCCATCCCCGATTTATTTTCATCCCGTCTATTTTCATTCTCTCCGACTCCTTTCCTCCCTCCCACTAACTCTACGCCCACGTCTTCACGACGCGTGATTCTCACGTTTAAACCCTGCATACACTCTCTTCTCCCTTTCCTTTCGACACGATCATATTTTCTCTCTGTCTCGCGCTCAGACATACGTATATACACAACATCGCTCGTTCTCCTATTCTCCAGGTTTTCATCGCGTCCTCCATTTACCAGAGAGCTCTCTTGCGTACCGTACACGAACCTTTTTACGAATTACGAATACGTTTTTACTATTGAAAAGTAACTCTCTCGCTCTCTCTCTCTCTCCAGGCCGTTTTTCTCGGTTACTCTTGCGCTCGTTGCACCTTTCGTTCACTCTCTCTCTTTCTCGCGCATTCCCATCGGTTCTCTCATCTCTCTAAGTGAATTACAGAGCCCTACGAAGTGCGGTAACTGTTGATAACGATTAAAGCTACGATAATATCTTGAGTTAATGTGCGTGCATTAAATACAATGGTTACGACGCGTTTCATCGACTCTTTCATCCATCGTCCTCCTCTCGTCTTAATCATAAATTCGCGTTTGCTTTTCATTTTGGCAGCCGTGTGGATAACCTTCGTGCTCTTTCTCTCATTTTTCTCATTCGCTCGAATTTGCACGACGCACCGTTTAAATTACCACGGGAGTCTAACGGAATCTCTTCGCGTCGAATTTCGATTCTGAATTCGTCGATCGACAACCAGGACGTTCATCCCCCCAAACGACGAAATTTTAATTGTAATATTCGTTCTTCGTCGTTTCCACTCTTTCGCAACTGTACGCGTCGGTGCACGAATTCGGCGTCGGACGTCGGCGTTTCCAATACGACGGACTATTTCCTACTTTTTGGCCGCTGTTCCCCGGAACCTTGGCCCGACGCGCGAAAAACGACTCCGTTAATTTCTCTAAATGGTGACACCGACGCGCGATCGGTACACAAAAGAAGTAAATGCAGCACCAACTCGTACGCTAAATTATTTAAGTCAACAAGTATTCGACGTTCCGCGCCACTTCCGGGCCAACAATCGTAAAGGTTCCATTGCACGACCTTTAGTAGCACGATCGTCCAACGCGAACGACGCTTTCCTCGTGAAATGAAAAAAAAAGTCGAAAGCTTCCTTTTTATTATCGATTACACGTGTAACAATAGCGACGACGTACGACGACGATGACGACGATATAACTATGTCATTTTAACAACTATTGGACGGAGTCGAGCGACATCGTGACACCGATTATTCTCTTCAATCTTCCCCATCTCTCATCATCAGCGACCTCGCTCGTCTCGTTTCTAATCGTATTGGCGATTTTTTCACGATCAGCACGCTGTCGAGCACGCTGATCCGAGTCTAGGTTAGGTGATCCGAATTCCAGACAACGGATCGACCCGTCGTGTGCACTGCTGCCGGGGACAGGAGTCGAAACAGGTAACCAGCAGGACGTGGCTCTTGCAGGCTTCCACTCGCTTCTGCAGGATGTACGTCTCCACCTCGAGGGCCTCCAAGAACGATGGATCTCGCCAGTCCATGCACTCTTCCACGTGAACTGCAATCAGGAAACGGGTCTCCTTGTACTTTAGCTATTCGATGTTCCTTATCGTTTACGATGGTAGTTTTATCTTTAAAATTGCCGGGGAATACCACTGTCAAAAGTAACTTGAGATTCGTTCCAAAAGTCTATAGTAATTGACGAATACCAGTTCCAATACAAAAATCTGCCATCGAGATCTCTTTTTATGGGACAAGAACGAGCGCAAAAGAGGAATGAGACGGTAATGCGATAGGAAATATCATAGATCAATTGAGTGATTATCGTGTCTGTCGCAGTTATAATTTTCTACTGGTTTTTCAAGAGATCCTGAGCACTAGTTAGCACGTAATCTGCCACGGTACAGTTGCATGAAATTATTTCCGACGCCAGTATTCCCACATTTCTTTTACTTCGTTTTAATATTTCCTTCTCTAACGCAAACTGTTTCTATTCTCGTCGGAGACATTCTCTTCTGAATTAGAAACGACACTTAAACCATATTAATAATATCGTGAATATTGTAACAAATATATTTACGAAAATTATTTCCTTCGATTACGATAGCATTAGAATGATGTGTTCTTGCAATTTCAAATCATTTTCGAAAAATATGTCATTTGAAAGAGCGCAGAAGTAGAAATGAATACTCACGATCGTAGCTCCAGCGGGTGTCGGGCACCATCAGGCGCTTCTTGGCGTTACGCAGCTCGAGCCTAAGAAGGCGCTGGCGTAGTCGCAGGTTGAGTATCCTGGACATCGTGCCACGTGGATCCGAGCGCAACTGCGCGCGCCTGTCCAGGATGTCCACGTCCTCGCTTGTGTACACGAGTATCCCCGGCACCGCGGACGGCGCCTGTGGCAGACGGGCCCGGTACTGGGCCCGTGACCGGACCCCGCACCCTGCCACCCGCTGTTCCACCGCTGAAACACCCGCACAACGTCGAGGTTAGAACCCCCAGTGCGCCACCTGAGGAGAACCACCGTACGGAGGGACCATTTTAGAGGGTTTACATATCATTTGCACTGGGCTGTTTGGGAGCTACCTCGTTTACAAGTCTAGATAACTTCTCTACCAATTGTTATGGGGCATGCATTACTCTGAAGGGAGGGAATCAGTCGATAATCGATCCTGGATCAGTGACATTGCTTTGCAAGTTTCGTTGGTTATTTTTGACCATAGAAATTTGATGGGAAGGTTCAAGTTTCCTCTGAAAGGGCTCTACCATAAATTTGAATATCCCCCCAAACTTCTGATCGCGTCACAGTCCAGGATCTTCGATTTTCTAAGCTAGCTCGCAAACTGTGCTCGCCTTGGTCGTTCGCGGATCGAGACGACTTATTAATTTCACAACCCGTGCGTAATTTTTCTCTTTGCCGTTATTAAAGAAAAGACAGCCTTTGTGTCGGTCGAGAAAGTTTTATCCCGTCGGAACGAGCCGGATGCTCGGACGTACCGTAGCAGTTCTAAAGCTGTATCAACGACATGCATCAGCGACGATGTTGATAATTGCATTCCCGTTAACTGCGCGGAGCTTGAAAGGGGAACGTTAAAAGAATATGCGATTAAAACGCGTAAAAAAAGGATCGTGCCGGAGTTCCGTATTGAAAATAATTCCGGAAGAACTTTTGTGGTACGGTAACATCGTCGATACGGTAATCGATCGCGCGGAAACTTAATTATCAATTAGTTATTTCGTTCGCTAATTGGACCGTTTTCTCGAACTTGGATTTCCGGGCCGAGCGTTATTTGCTTCTGGTTAAAAAGAGCGTTTCTCGATCTACTCGGAATACGTTTCAATACGCGGGACGAACTTCCGTTACCTTGATGTTCCTGTAGCGCGCTGGTCTGTCTCGAGGAATCGCTGGCGATACTGCTGGTCTCGCTATCTCTGACGATGCTGTCGTAGCCAGAACTTTCGGCGCGATGCCTGGATAACGTGGCTGGCGAGAGTTTCGCTGCCCGTGGCGTGGAATCCGCGCCAGAATCGTAGCCTTCCTTGTTCAGACCCAACGAAGAACCCAAACTGGTCATTTTGCGTTGCATTCGACCCGAGGACGGTGCTGGCGATGGAATAGACAGCTGCAGCGGTGCTGTGGCTGCAAGTTAAAGTTTTCGTGACGCTCTTCCCTAGAATGCTAACTTAACTTCGATAAAAACAAGATCTTCTTCTATTAAACTTCACTCGATTCGAAGGGGGAAAAAATTTCCTAAATACCTTGAATCTTGATATCGTCTTCGATGTCGGATTTCCCAGTGACGGTCCTCTCGGGCCTCTCGGCCGCGGTGAACAGTTTCTTCGCCTCCACGTACTCTTCTTCAGGGTCCGAACCCGAGGCTCCGTTCCCCGGTAGCCTCTCCACTTCCTCTTTGAGATTAGGGTTCGAGGCGCCATCGGGATGCCTCAAACTAGAGATATTGCAGTCGCCTAGCTTGCCACAGTATCTCCTGGGGCTGGCTATGTGCGCCATGCTGTTAGGGTACCAATACGAGGCGGTGGCCGGTCTCGTCATGCTTTGGCGACAGTTGTCGCAGATCTTCTCCTGGTCGGATTTCCCTGCGATGTACGCGGGCTCGCTGTAGATGCTGCCGTGATTGCTCGCATTGTCGTTGAACATCACGTCCGAAAGGGACAAGGACTGACAGCGCGACGGCGGACGGAAGACGGCGGCGGCTGGAATTTGTCCTGCATTAATGTTATACCTGTTGTAGACCAACGCTGTAGCCCAACAAGACACGCTCAACTTTAGTCAGTCAAGGGTCGTAGCAAAACTAAACTTCTGATTATTAATTTCACCTATGCACGCCCCCCAGGGAACAGAGGAATGGACCTTTCAGCGAAGTAAACAAGTGGAAACTTACATGGAACGTCTCTGACATTGACGTTGGAGTTCTCCCTCTGGTAGGTCACAGAGTTGGAGACATTGGCGAGGGCGAGCTTGCTCTGATAGAGCTCGTGGAGCCGGGCCAACTGGTCGAACTTGTGCCTGGTTTCCTGCTCCAGGAAGTCCTCGTGGTCGAAGTATGGCCTCGGCAGCACTCCCATGCAACCCGGAGGCGGATACTGAGGCCTGTAGCGGTCCGTGTCCGACATCACCGACATCGAGTCTGGAAATTGACATACTTTTTGTTCTCTCGTCGTGTCCCCGGATGTTTCTCCGTCGAGGACGAAAGAAGTGGACAGATAAGATGGAAGAGAAAAAAGGAGCGCGTTTAACCGAGACGACCGCCTCTTTCGACCATAGTTCGAAGACGGAAAGTATTGACGAGTAATTATATCGAGCCGCTTCTGCTTTCCTTCCCTTTCTTTTGCCTGGTCGCGATCCCCGTCTCGTTCCCTTGCTCCTACAATACGATTGTTTTCCATCGGGCGCGCTATTACTGAGCTGGAAGGATCTAAGAACCGACTCTCCGGGAGAACAATCTCCGAAGGCATCCGTTCGAGTGCACTCGGAGTGAAGAGGAAAGGGGAATGACAGGTTGGTTCTGCGGGGAAACAGGATGCACTATAAACGCCACGAAAAATTGTCGAAGAGAATCCCAGAGTATTTTCTTGGTTACGATCTAGATGCAAAGTCGAATCCCTCGAATCTGCCTCGACACAGTTCGTTGCCCCGATTAGAATCGATCGAAACGAGAATCGTACGCGTTACTTACCGGTGAAAGTCGAGACTACGGTGAGATTCTCTTGGCTGAGGATTCTCAAGGGATGCTCCTCCTGGTCGCTCTCAGGCAAGGGATTCTCTCCCATGCACAACGCGATGTCTTCCTCCGTGACTTGGAGGCACGAGTCCTGCATCGGGACAGGCTCCAAGTCCTCGACCTCGACGATCTCTAGGATCTCGTCCTCGGAAGACAAAGAGTGTCTGGACGGTAGCACGATGTCCTTGTGCGAGAGGTTCAGACTCTCCATCGAAACTTCTCTGCTAACTCCGTTGCTCAGAGGCTCTATGAGAGGCAACGGAGGCGGCACGACGATTTCCTCGTCGTCGTCTTCGTCCTCCTGTAGGTCCAACTTCCCTTTGTCCATGCTATCGTCCATGATCGGACTGGCCGTCAAATCCAAGCCAGAGTCGGTGTTGGATTTGACGTTCAACAGATTCAGCTTGACGCCCAGCTTCTCGGTGATGTCCTCGATCTCGTTAGCCTTCAGACTGTCGCTCTCCGCCGTGGACAGCGACGTGTCGTCGTCGTCCATGCCGCCACAGGTCTTGAAGGTCGTCAGCTCCTTAAACTGCGACGACTGACCGGACAGCTTGGACGACTCGATCCTGGCAGTGACGTGTTTGCTCCTCTGAATCTGTGACGATTGGTTCTCGACCCACTTCCTGATCATGCTCTTCTTGTGACTGTCCATGAACCCATAGCCCGAAGAGTGTTGTTGCTGGGCGTGCATCTGCAACGTGGGTGGACTAGTGACTTGCATGGGCCCGTCTATCCAGGTCTCTCTTTTGTGATGAGGATCCTTCAGCATGTGTCTAGCTTCCGCGACCTTCGACTTGGAGATCCTAGGGCCGTCTATCCACTGCTCGTCGGAACCCCCGCTGGGCGCCGCGACAGGTATCATCTTGCTTCCGGGCGAGTCGTTCGCCTTCGAAGACGATACCTTGGTCGCGGTGCACTTCCTGGCAGGGCTAGCCTTGGGCGTAGCGGTGTGTGCCGGGGACGTTTGCTTCGAGGCGGTTTGCGTCAACGCCTTCACCGCCTTCGTCGATTTGTGCACCGGGCTGCGCTCCTCCGGGATCTTACAGGGTCTCTCGGCCGCCGATCCGCGCAAAGCTTTCCCCATGGCGCAGCGATTGTCCCCCGAGTTCAAACTCGGTATGTAAACCGGAGGATGCTCGCCGTCGGTCGCGTCGTCGGTACTAGGCCCCACGTAGATCACAGTGTCCGCGGACAGATCGCTGGAACTCGGATCGCACTCGCTGGTTTGCCTAGCCGCTTCCTCCCCCGAACTCCCCCCGCTCCCCGTCCCCTGGGTTCCGCCCCCGACGAACTTGATCTTCCTCCGCCTCATCCGGTGGATCCTGGACGCCAGTTGCACGGTGGTTAACGTCTCCGTGTAGTGCTGAGCGTTCGGGGACACGTGGGCGATCATCGCCGCGTGACACGTCAACGAGCCGAGACACTCCTTCAGTAATTGGGTTAGCTTGTGCTCCTTGTACGGCAGATGCTTCTGCCCGTTGAAGATCGCTAGCAAGATATTACCTAGCCCGGACAGGGGGATGCCGCCCGACGACTTGCCGCGATCCGAATTGCCGAGGTCCATTAAGTGGAGTCTGCTTCTGCCGCCAGCAACTGCGGAATTAAGAAAATCGAGAATCGTTACTCGCCTCGCTGCGTGAGGTGGAGCAGCGTATGGGGGTGGGATAGAAACGTTCAATTTACGAATCGCGCCTGTTAAGTTGCATTATCTGCGGTTAAATATGAAGGCAGTAATTTTATCGAGTACCTTTGAGAGGTAATTAATTTTCAAATGGGGAGCGCGAATTGTCTACGGACTGTACATCCACTAGAAACGGCGAGGTTCTATGAGGAGCGTTTCGACGTTTGGCAAAGTGTCGAGGACAAATGTGCTTTACGAGTACGGACTACGGGGAATTCGTTTCGGAAGGGAAGACAAAGGCTCACCTCCTCCTTTGCCCGCGACACTGTACTGATAAACGTGGAGGGTGTAGAGCATGTGCGCGTCGCCGTCCTCTCGTTGGCGGCCAGCGACCGCCGCGTCCAAGTAGAACGCGGCACGCTCCGCAGTCGGTGCACGAAGCTCGCTGTGCTGTTGCAGTTGCAAGCTTCCGAACAATGGATCGTCCCTCAAGTAAACGGCCGGTGACTGCTCGGAATCTGGCGAACAAAAAGCCATAACAAATCATCTTCGGTGAACGTACGCAGTAAAACGGGGAAATATATCTCGCGGAATGTCTCTGTTTATTGTTTCCTTATGTTTCACTTAAACGGTGAAGCTAAAACAGATTTTGCGTCGCTGTCTTTGCGTATCTGGCTCGATGAACCGAACACCTTACGAACCCGACAAACGATCATATTCTTTCAATTCCTTTGATTTCTCTTCCGATAGACTGGATAGAATCGACGCTGGAAAGTAACGCGGCGAAAGAGGATATCGTAGTCCGGCACTTTTGGAAAATCAATTTTCCTTTTCTCGCATTTTATATAGTCTGGGGATAAAAATATGCGCGTAAAAGGTTTTACGACAATTCGTAAAAGTAACAGGGCCATAAGCGTTTTAACGCACGGGTATCAAATATAGTACATTGGGGGGTGGGGTGGTAACAATGAGACTTCACGATTTTTATCGAAAGAGAATAAAGGAAATGCAATTTGGCGAGCACGTTGAAAAGATGGATTAGGGCATTTGATAGAAGGTTAATAATTTTATCAGCTCCTAGTTTCCTATTTTGTCAGGAAAACCTCTTTCGTAAAATCCATAAAATGAGAGCCCATTTCCCATAGATACAATCTAATAAACATACATTCTGTTCCAGACAATGTAAAAATTTTGTTAAATTCGCAAAGGAGTAATCCTGTTTTCTTTATTAACATTTTTAATATTCTCCGTTTTATCAAAGCGCCTGCAGCAAAAAAACACAGTTACCTCCGCGTAAAGCCAGCTCCGGGCTTTACTACACCGTTGGCTAAATGTTCTTGGGGGATCTCGACCCGGGGAATGTAATAAACGTTTTTCCTCTTTCCCTCTGTCCCCCAAGAACCACGGATACGTGGCCACGCGAGATCAAACATAGCGTTCTATTCGCGAATCTGGACCGAACATAAGACGCGTAAGTCACGTCCATTTTCCGGCTCGTCATTCGATTCCATTATCTCGCTGAGAAATAATATCCAGCGAAGGAAGAATGCGGTGATGCAGGTGGCCAGCAGCCAGGGCCATAAATCGACCACGCCTAGCCTCGGCATATCCGCGGGAACGTCTCAATGTGAATTACGACGTCGATAAAACATCGAAAGATACGCGATAGGAGATATCACGGGCGTGTTATCAGGGGCTATCACTGACTGGTTCGCGTGTATCGATGATCGCGAATAATCAGCGTAATGCGGAACGTAGCTGTAAACAGTGATCAAATCGAAAGCACTGTTACAGCCTCGTTGAGTCTTAGATCGAAATCTAAAGGGTTGATTTTATCTATCGAACTAAGAGGAAATTAAGGAACACCGTGTCGATGATATACGCAATCTATATTTAAATAGTTTCAAACTTAATTTAGTCGTATTCGGGCACGAAGATTCCAGCTTGCAAAGTTTCGGACAGTCCGTAAGACTCGACGACGTCTTCCTCCAACGTTAAATTTTTAATGGAGACATTTTACTCGAAGAAATTTAGAGTCTCGGGTTGATGGGACGCACCATTCCAAGGTTGCACAAACTGACAAACCCTCTGCGTCGCCTGCAGGCGAGACTGCTTTTCATTTGCAAACACTTGAACGTACAGAAAAACGAAGAAAATGGAAAGCTCGGAGGATGGCGTCTCTACAAAAGATTTTCCAAGAAAAAAAAATTCTCCAAGAACCGTGGATAAAGGAGCAAGTCGTTCGAAGATTAAGCAAAGATTAAGAAACCTGTGGACCTTCCACTTCTGTGGACCAGAATTTTATTGTCCCACCCTTGCACGCGCGGCGACGATTTTCGAAACGTGCCGTAATAATACGCGCGCCATCTGATCGGCTCGTAAACCAGCGTTCGCGTGTTTTATGTACAGTTTCTCGTTCCTAACGTATTGCCCGCGCCTTGGAAAAAGGCTTTCGATGCGAAACGACGACAGAGAAATAATAACCGAAGATAACGATCGTTATTATGTGTCTATCGCCGTACGACGCGAGACACATAAAAATCCTGCTCGTTTTCGCTAGGACGGTCGCGAGATTTCTTGAAATTCGCGAACCTTGCGAAAACAATCTCTCGAGGATCGTTTCAGAATTTTTATAGTTTAGAATCTGCTTCGTTTTAGTTTTCCCGGGAACACCAGAACCTCTCAGAAATTGATTTTCGTTAGTTTTAGTTTCGAATTATATTCTTTTTAATATAATACGTCTATATCCAAACAAAATAAGCTAGTTAGGATTGCGTTGCAACAGATTTCGTTTCTGCGTCTCGTTTGCTCTCGTCTAGGAATTGCAATACGAGGATCTGAGAGGGGTTTTACGGATTACAACCATAAACCAGTGTCGATTGAAAATTTTATCGAGTTACCGGTAATTGAAAAGGTCGGTGAATGTGCAATCCCTCCTCTGCAATCGCCTATCGTCACTGACGCTACAATCGTCGAGCGTCGTTTCGAGCGATACGACGTTTAGATAATACCCTCCATAAATTGCCAATTAGCGTTTTACTGCTCCGCGAGACGCGATCTTGGCTATTGTAGCGCAGCTACCGACGTCGTAAAGGACGGAGTATGTAGCGATCGAGGACGTAGACGATAGTTTATTCCAGTTAGTCGTTGCTCGTCGACCCGCGGTGTCCGATGTCTTCCACGACTTTACAACGTTCTTTCAGCGTTCGAACGAGCTCTGAATTTCTAAAAATTACGTTCTACGAACTCGTTTGACCCTGCTGTAATCTACCATTTTATCCTATATTTTTCAATGGGCTAATAGCCACTTTAAATACGTCCATTCCCGAGGGGACACAGCGCGAGGCGTCTCGAATTCTCATCGAAAATAAACCGACACGTGTTTCAGCGATTTCCCCTTTGATATAGAAAATACGAGCGTTTGGAATTATGCGCGCTGCGTAGCGGAGCGTATCAGACGTGACTGGAAAACTCTTTTCTCGATTGTCTAGAAGCTACACTCCGTTTCTCGTGACCAGATTTGTACATTGCGAGACGTTTTCTCACTGCACAAGAATTTCGATCGTAATTTAGAGCAAACCCTGTTCGATTCTTCCGTAGTCATCGAAATTTTCCAGCGACCACGTTGGGAATAATTCGAGGCGTGTCCCCGATGGAAGGGAACTCGTAAGACGGATCGAGGTAGGAAGATCTAACGAACACAAAATTATGTTCACGCACACGCGGCCGCGGGTGTATAATGCGACACGAGGCGTGGCAATATCCATAAAAGGGACCAGAGTGAGAGTAATATTGTCGGCATCTGTTCCGAGTGGCAGAGGCTCGCAACGACGGAGGAAGCGACGGGACATCCGTGTGGAAATAAAAAAACGATCTTCCGCGAGAAGAACTCGCCGGTATATGGACGCATAATGGACGTGGCTCGAGGACCGAGATCCGTACAGGCGTGCTCCCGCGGTGGCATATCGTTCAGGGGTCGAGAAACTCCACTGTGCCGGATAAATCGTTTTTCGACGCGTTTCGAATACTACGTACGCGGCCAATCTCGTCCCCGGAGGGTGAGTCTGTCGGAGGGTACTAAAAAAAATCTGTTTCCGTTTTTTCGAATGACCGGGGACGCGCGGACTACGAGACTGGGTTTCCCAAATGCCTCGTAGAGTATTCGAAATGGTACCGTTCCGCGTCCTTCAGGATGAGACCCAGGAATTTTAGTGCCCCCGCCAGGGGCCATTATGGCCACTAAAAATATCCAAACGACGCAGTTCGAAGCGAATATCTGGGGCAAGGGTAAGGGATATACTATGCCACTGGATTTCTGGGTCAAGGGTCGAATCTTTTCCTCTTTGAATCGTTAAATGTTCGATCGAAGGATATCTGACAAAACAGGAACACCTGTCATTAGATTTGTTTCTAAAACAATTCGTGATACTTTATTAAAAGTCGATTTTCCAAACAAAATTAATTCGATATAAAATTAAATAGTGTTGAGAAAGAAATTGATATAAAATGTTTCCATTCGTAATTTATCTCCGTTATCCAGCGGCTGTAACTTGATACCAGTCCGCGAAAGATGAAATATCGTCCACGGCAATCGTAATCTATTAAAACTACATATGTATCTACAGTAGCGAAGTCGAAAGTGAACAACTGGTCTGGGAAACCTACCAGAGGAGCCGCTTTCTGAAAAAAATTCAGGAATCGGCTTCGAGTTAAGTATCACCTTCTCTCAATTATCTTCGCTTCTCTTCCTGTAGAAAACGGTCAACCGTCGAGCTTCAATTTTCCAGCTTCTCGGTCGTTGCTTTTTATCGCTCGCGACAACCAGAACCGCGATAATCATTGGTCACCGTATCAGCGACGGATCGGACACACCGGAAGCAGTAATACGTTTCCGAGGGGATCGATAATGGTTTCTCAGCGCGAGGCAGCTTTTCCCTATAATTCGCACGGCGACGATCGACCGGCCATTGGCACTTTCATTCGCGCGTAACGACAACCTTTGCTTCTCTCTATCCGGGCAAAATGAACGCGTTCCATGGCATTAACAAGTTAGGAAATCGTTAAAACGATCGAAATTTTAGTCTTTTGCCGTAATGAGATAAGGGATCATCGGTATGTTATCGGCGCAAAGTGATTTACGAAAATTAAACCGCGATTCAGGGATCGCAGAACCCTCAATTTTAATCCTCGAAGTACGTGGATGGAATTTAACCTCAGGTTGCGAAACAGCAATCCCTCGAGAGCCTTCGACTACCTTTTTCCTTTAATGTTTACGTTTTATTAAGATTCTCCCCCACTTTCGATGTTGTGGTATTACATGCGACGAAGAGAGAATATTAAAAAGAAGAAATTGATTTGTTCAGCCAACGGGTGTATCTCCTTAAAGTAGAAACAGTCGTGGAATAGCGTCAGACGTACTTTACGCGGTCGTACGTTCGCCGAAATAAGTGCGCCCTGCGAGGAGCAACTGGGTCGTCGTCTCGCGGGAGGGTGGAGGGTCGCTTCAGGTACTAAGACG